GACGATGAGATAAGGTTTGCCAACGAGACGAGTGTGCTAGCTGCGGTTCGAATGCCGGTTGATACCTCATTCAACGAAATGACTCGCAGTCAGCGTCAATCTGCGACTTGTATTAGAAACAGGCATAGCTCGTTCGCGTATAATTCGTCACCGTTCCTCTCGCTTGACCAAGCACATACAAAAGGCCCCCGCAACGAAATTTCGTAATCGGATAAAGTCATACGGTATTTCGTCATATCCGATGAGCCATCTACCTTTTACCCGCGAGATGCCTCACTTCCATAGCTTGAGTGCTGAATGTTTACAGATCGGACGCTTTCTACCTGTTCCGGTAGATGACTAGATGCTTAGAGTAAATTGACAATGTTCATTGTGTCTTATGGCCATGGCCTGCACTCGGGAACCAATGTTAAACAGTTCCCAACGTCGAGACACAGCCAATAGTGCGCCTCGACAGCATCATCAGCATGGTCGTATTGTTACATACGGCATCTAGGCGTTAACCCACCTTGCGTCGACTGAAACGGTAGGAAAGTAGATTACTGTTTTCGACGACGGCTCGATTCAAGAGGAATCATCAGAAACGATTGTTTACGGTACAATATCATGTTAGTCAGTTTTGCTGCTGCAATTATTTGTAGTTGCTTGCTGTCACTTCTGCTTATATGAGCATACAAAAAGCTCACTGATCCCAGCTAATAGATCGCGAGTTCGTGCTGTGGTAATCCGCTTATTTCGGCTTCTGTCGATATTAGAATGTTTCGACGCTGTTGGACACAGCGCAGTCGCGTTGGATTGGCTCAGTGTCCAATGCGCCTTGTCTTCAGGCGACTGGCCTTTGAATGAAAATGTGTTTTTTTTTTTTTTTTTTTCATAAAAAGCAAATTTAGCTGCACTGTCATTATTCACTATCGGCGTGATATTTAACCATTTTTGTTCTAGATATTGTCTAGCGTAAACCCATGGACGGATTGTTTGTTAAGTCAATTTAGTACGATATCGGATTTAGTACGGGTAACTTGTCATATGCACGTGGGCATTCGATGTATTGAGACTGATTCTAATGTATTTATATCGTTTTGACATTCGCGCATCAATTAAGCTTCTAAACAATACTACATAAATGACTAATTATTAGGCACGTACCGCCACGAGCAAACTTGTATCTTGTATTTCTACTCTAGTTAGCTTTTCGTAAGCGACTCTTTCGAAATAGCATGCTCTTTTTAGGTTGCACTAGAAAGGCTTGTTTCTTGTTTGAGTTTTATATGTGCGTGTGTCCTAAACTTTGCTTCAAAAATGACTGCAGAAGAAAGGAGAAAATTACAGAAACAAGTACCATGTTGTCTTCAAAAGCTTCCGACTGATTAAAACAGCAAACTAAACTCACTTTTTGCAAAATCTACCACCAACCATAAATGCATCAAAGCATTTCAAAAAGCTGATTTCCAGCATCAAGCGAAGTTTGGCGAACGCGAAGTGGTCTAGGTTCCTAGACACACTTCGCGTCCAAATTTAGAATTATGTAAATCAGTCAATGGGGACCTAGAACGTGGAGTTTCAGAACCGTTTTGTATGGCCATCGTTCGAACCTCTTGTAGATTCGACATGCTTATTAGTTGACAAGTTTTTGTTTAACACCGTTATGTTTTCTGCCCCATTACTGGCGGCCTTGTCCAATGAAACACGGATATAGCCTACGGTGCCGACAGCTATGTCGGAAGTGTCAACCATTGTCTACCTCTGACAATTCAAAATCATAGCTTTCCATCTCTGAGGTGTATAGATGTGCGCTACTGCAATAGCACAGAAACCTTCTGCCATTCTTAGAGTTGCTTTGACTCACTGCAAAAACAAACAGCATCACTTCAGTATCTGAATCTTTACGATGCTCACGGTATCCAATGATGCGAAACATCAATGGTTGGCTTAGCCAAACCTCGCAACTGCCCTGCGAGTGGGGTGCACTGTTCCAGATGACGTTCGCTTCGCAAGTCTAACGTCAAGACGATTCTTCAGTTTTTTATCTCAATATCGTCTATTTCGGGTAAGGAAAATGTAAAGGCAGTACTCCTGTACTGCCTGTAATATTCAGATGATTCCACAATAAAGCATGCTTTACATGCAGAAGCAGCTTTTGAAATACCTGTATGCATTCATATTCTTGAATCCTATGATAAGAACGCGTCACCTTGATTTACATACCTATAGCAAGACAGAGCAACTGAGAACCAATATGATACATGTCGGCTTCTGTATGTTAAGTAGATATTGTCTCAGGGGAGTCATCAACACTCGAGGGCTCTATAGTTCCGAGCTCCTTCAACGACGTTTATTTAGATCCCCGTAGCACTACAAGTTGAGAGCAAAGGTCGAGACCGTAGTTTTTACTTTTAATGAAGTTTAATAATTATGCATTCTAGCATAGAACGGTAAGAATACTTGATATGGAGCTTGTTACAGAAAAAACTAAGCGTTTCGTAGTGTGTTTTAATTGATAAACATTTAACTAAGTAATGTAAAAATGTGTTAAGGAGTCAAGGCGATCGCGTTCCTATTTTTCATCTCTAAATCATTTGCTCTAAGATATTACATATAGTTTTATTTGTGCGTAATTTTGATACCAGCAGATCCTACGTTGGTCATGTAATTCAATGATGTTTTATTGAAATAAAAGTTAACTACGAAAGGTTTAAGCAGCCGGATCAACATGATAGGACCCGCTCACCCCGGACACACAATTTCGCCGAGGTAACTCTGCTGTGGATGACAGTTATTAATAGATCGACATGTAGCTACTATACAGTTCCATGTACTTCTGTACATGATACAGAATCATTTACGATCGAATTCAAGCGACAGCGCTTCACAACAAAACGTTTTGGCACTTAAGAACAGTTAAAGATAGTTAACTGAGCATTAGCTACAGTTGGCGTAAATTGTGAGCCGGACATGTACAGAAACAGTGAAGATCTGATTCGTTGGAACGATTTAATACACAAAGCGCTTTTCCGGCGACTTGTACATGTACAACTTCTTCCATTCGTCGATGAACTTTAAGAACTTTTTTTAAAAAACTAAAAGGAAACACTTTTGATAGTAGCAAAATAACATGCTGCGACATCACCGAGGGGAATACGATAAACATAGGTTATTCGAACGCAAGCCAGCATTTGTCATACTTGCGCTAAGCATACGTGAACGGCAAGATCAGACGAGAAATGCCAAAAATCTGGCACAGTTGAGCAATAGTTAATCTCAATAGATCAGAGAAGACCAAAAACTATTATATTGATTCTAGAAAGCGGCGTTTTGACGATCTCTATAATGATAATCAAAAAACGGCGGTATTTTCATTCGACGCTCGATTCGTGGCCGCTGGTATATGAACCGTTTAAGATAATATTGCAGACGTACTTAAAACAGATGCGATATTTACCTTTGCGAGTGTTTGTCTATGATCTAAGACGATTACGTTTACGTTAGAATAAACAGAGGAATAGAGCAGCGTGTCACATCACCAAGTTGGTTTTTCGATATCGTAGAATATCATCTTCTAGGCATCCAGTCTTCAAGGAAACGATCTTCTGGAAGGATTAACTGAAAATTCTAGGCCAAAGCAGCAGAATCGTGGATAGCAGAAGTGGCATTGCTCCAAAAGGTCAATCGTTATTAAAAAAATGTCAGAGCTTATGGAAATCACTCTAGACGAATCACCATGAGATGAGCAGCGAATATTTTCGCCATTCTAATACGAGCTCTTATGCTATCGTTTGACGCACATAGTTCACTATGTTGCCAAACTCAAATCTAATCCAAGTTATCAGCTATATGGCTTACGGCTACTACGGATCCCCATCAATCGGTAACGTTTAACACTATTACTTTATGCCTAGTCGTACTAACGCATATAATATCAGTATATTTCCAATACACGCTATAACGTCCTGCCCGTTTGCTTCATTAAAGCATTGCTATCGTTACCCGGCGTCTCTACAATGCATCTAGCAACGTCGCAATTACCAGCTCGGTTACATTTCCGATAGAACTCTATGTTTGCAGCGATGGCCTTTCTAATAATTCTAGCCATGTAGGCGACTGTGAGATGCTAAACCAATAATCGACGCTTACCGTTCACGACTTAGGTGCTTATCGATATGATCCCTATTCTATGAGATATTTCTGATGGTAGAAAAAAAGGCAACGTCCTCGGCCGTATGCGGCTGATGTAACCTTTAAGCCGATCGATGCGTTTACCTTGATCGATGAAGGAGTCGATAAATAAGAGCATTATAGAATTGATGGCACGTGAATACAATGATCTGTGCCGCCGCTGATCGTCAGGTCATCCAAACAACATAATACTAAACAATGTATTTTACGTTCAAGCCTTGTTAACAAAACTAATCCTTGAATCAAGGACCTGCCGAGTGACCGACTAAATACTGATCGAAGTATATGAGTCCAGAAAATCGCCTGTGAACTACCGCCCCGTAAGAATAAATAAGATGGACCGTTGATTTTAATCATTGTAGTTTTTGATATTAATATTATTATTATTAGCCAAAATAATGATTGGTGTGAGTAAACAGGCTGCGTTAGGCCTCGTGTTTAACGTTTAAATAACTATATAAACGTATAAAATAGTGTAGAGCTTAATCCTTACTGCCTTTGTCTTTGACTGCCGACCAGTGGAAGACGATCGACGAAAAAGAGGCTGAAAGATCCGGTTAAACGAAAAACATAGCGTGTCCTTTTGACTTAAGAAAAAACATTTGCATCCGTCTTGCAGATATTACATTCTGTCAGCAGTTAGAGCAAGGTTATTAACAAGCAGTTTTATACCGACCTACTATTGTTCACGTAGCAGATCACGTAAAACATAGACCTATTTCTAGTCAAAAAACACAAAGCCCAACTACTACTATTTCTCTCGCTTTTTTTTACAATACAGATGATTATGCACCGAGTGACTCAATACTGATTCTGTGTCGGCGCAGGTTTTATTGCTGCTGTTGCTTGCTAGCAGCTTGTACGCAGCCAACGGGACGCTGCCTTCTGACCCTGCCGAAGCATCCCGACAACCCGCCGCCGGACATTCTCGGCGCGCTCCTAAAATCAAACGCTCTCCATATGGATACATCATTCGCGGAGAACACCACAGGGCGACATTTCAAATTGGAACTCCTGACGAAACTAGGTGAGCATACGAGTTCACTAATATGGTGACTACATTTCGCCTTAACGGCTTACGCCAAATACTCTTGCTGGTTGAGTCATTTTGCATTCGTCAACCGAAGACTCTCCTTAGTCATTTTTACGAAAAGAATCCGGTACACTGTATTATTTAAGTAGATATTGATGACCTTTGATATAGAACACGTTGAGTAAAACATAAAAACAAATTGTAAATAAAAAAAAGTATATATATATATATATATATATATATATATATATATATATATATATATATATACACATATATGAGGAATCATCTTTTCGAAATAAGGATAATTACTGCGGGCACAAAGCGAGCGCGAGATGGGCTTCCATACGTATGTGTACGAAACACGACTTTTCTCTATTAGAACGAATAAAACAGAATCATATGATTAACCGTTCGTTTTTATTGTGTGTGAGGACTATAATTTTATGATTCGCACGTTTTTTTTCTTTTTTTTTATATATATATATATATATATATATATATATATATATATAGACAGCTCACGAATGATATCTAGGTAAAAAAAAAGTACACAATTCCCTTTTGTAACAGAAACCTATGTTTTGATCCGCAAGCTAATAATTCGTCCATTCTTATTAAATCATTTTCCTAGATTATTCGGGAACCCCGCCGGATTTGACATTAAGGCATTCCAGCAATCAGCGCAGTCATTTTTAAGCGATTCAAATAGATCAAGCTTTCTACAAAGTGTGCCAGGCTCTGTCACGAACGGTCTTAATGTGCTCTTAAGCGCCGGATCTTTCCATTCCCAGCAGAACACTTCTGACGCAGTCGTAACGCACGCTCAATTACCTTCAGCATTCAACTATCGCCAAGTTGTTCTGAATCATGTTCCTGGTGCCAGTTCACTGAATGGTGGACTGGTTCTTGGCGAGAAAGGAGCGCCGGTGTCTCCACTTGCTGACTTTCCTTCTAAACCTGCCCCAATTCCACAACCACCACTTTCGCTGCCCCCCTTGCCTAGAATGCCTACTCTGCCCAAGGTATCTGTACAACCATCGTTTGAGTTCAAACCCAGCATTCGAACACTACCGAGAGGACATGAAGGTAGCACGCAATACTTTGTGTTGGGCCAAAAGGCAACGCAGACACCTTATTTATTCAACGTCCTTGAACTACCTACGCTAAATCCTTTGCATTCGTGCTCGCATCCCTTCCACAATCATCCAACAGTTGTTGCTTTGAGCGAAGATCCAACGAGACCCAATGTGGTTGTCATGGTGAACCCGATCAACCCGTCGCAGGCCCCATTTCCGACATTGAACCCGCCCTTATACACGCAAGATTTGGGCATAGAGGTACCGCAGATAGTTCCGACTAGAGTTCTGGCTCAGCCAACTTTAGCGCCACCTCTGCCTCTTCCACTACCCGCGTTGCCGCCAGTTCCTCGCCTTTTCTCCAACCTCCCGAAAGAGATGTTTTTCTGGTTCAGAGATAATAACAAAAACTTCACGCTCGTCCCCAGCTTCAACGACTTTATAAAAAATTATCAGAACCCACTGCTTATAACACGTCCTGTGCAAAACACCTTTTTTAGACCCTTTATACATAGTTCTCGCCAGTTCAGTCGAGGTTCGCCAATAACCGGAAAAGGACCCGTGTTTAGGAAAAAACCCTTCGTGTTCAACTACTTCCCAGCGCTGACTTCTAATTTTCCGTACGATGCTCCGTTTCTGACACCTGAAGGTCGCAGTGGGAAGAGAGGCCATCCAAGCGGTACATCCATGACCATTTCCCGTAACCTGGCGAAGGACTCTAGGTCTGCGCCGGCTAAACATGTTCCTCCCAAAACAACAACACCAAAACCCGATATTTCTACGACATTCCTAAATAAAGACACTCCGGACGAGACCGACAGGTTGGAGGATTCATTGACAGAAAATTCAAAGTCGCTTGGCTCGAACGACGTAGTCTTTACGATGACAACAGCAACAACAGAGGAGGCACGCGATGAATCCGGGAATAGCGACATTTCACCATTAGGTAAAAAAGAAATTAAACCATCTGCTACCCAAAGCGATGCTGTAGTTGTAACGAAGGAACCCAGAACGACAATAATTCCTGTCGATACAAGTGATACCGACATGACTGCCACCAGCACCAGAGCACCGAGCTTTGATAAGAAGAACTCAGGTAAAAGCGATAACTCCGAGACATCTATACCGACAACAGACAGAGAATATGACGAGAATGGCCTAACGGTTAATAGGACTAGTAAGTCCTTCACCGATAATGACTACGATCAGTTATTTGTGGACTTCACCGACCCCAATAGTATTCAGAAGGCAGTTAAGCCTGACCAAAACTTGACAACGACGAGCACTACCACGACAGTCACGGGAAGAGCCGGAGCTACAACAATAACCATGGGCTTGAAAACAACAAAATCACCTTCAGTCTCATCTACTGAAAGAACTCGCTTAGACGAGTACGACGATTATTTCGTTGACTTCTTTGATCCCCATCCTTCAGGACCAAGACCTAAAACCTCGAGTACCACAACAACGACCACGTCGACCTCTCTGAAGCCGTCAGAAAAGAATGAAACGGAATCGCCAACGATAACGAGAGGAGAGACTCAGGCACTGCCATTACCTACTCCAAACACAGCGGGAGTCAGGAACGAGCAAACAACGACAACCACACAACCCACAACTGAGGCGTCTATGACCACTCCAAATGAAGTAACTATAACAACTGAGCAACAAGTAATTACCACGAATGAACGAACGATGGACGCATTAACTACGACGAAAACGGCTATAGAGCTCACCGAAGGGGCAAGCACAGAAAAAATTACTACTGTTATGGAGTTGCCGATTACTACAACAATAAATGAGCCTACAACGGAGGCCCAAGCAGATGCCCCAATTGCACCAGCAGATCATGCAATCACGAGCTCCAATGAAACCACCAAAAGAGTTGAACCGGATGCGGATGCTACCACTGAGGTCTCGCTGTTGCCGCCACCGCCGCCAACAGGAACAACAACAGAAAAGATGCAGACGAACAATGCAGACGAACCAGCGATGGTAGAATCGACCTGCAACTCTGAGATGGTAAAAACAATTAAAGAAGATAAGGCGGTGGCAATGGGAGTTGAGGCAAACAGTACTACAGAAGAGTCTCAAACAGAACATTCCGTTGTCGTAACAGATGACGCTCAAGGTTTGACGCCTCATTATTAACTTGAATTATGTGCGATTGCTTATAATTGTATAAGAAGTTCTGTAAATATGTATACTACAACTAATACTTAATAATTTATTATTATATTGATGCGATAAATGAAAAACCCTACGTACATTCATAACCATGCTAAATGGCCGTACAACATGTGATCCTGTATTCTAATATGTTTATAGAAATGTAACCTAATCTTAACGACGTGCAATATTATCCGCATATTGTTGCAGAAAACTTTCCGATAACTGCCAATGTTAATTACGCAAACGAAAAGGAGGACGCACCACTGTTGCCACCTCGATGCCCTCAAGATGATGGCACAACAACAGAGACCAGCGCCTCGACGACAGAGATACCTGAAGTCAGTAAAGTAGATGAGCCTACAGAACGAGATCACAAGCTGGCAGGGCGAGATCTCGTTGTTGGTATTAAGGGAGACTCAAATGACACGAGTGATCCGTCTTCCAATGACACAACCACCATTCCATACGACCTCACTAAGACCCGTGTATCCTTAACAACTGTTGAAGCCAGTACAGAACCAGTTGTGCACACTACAGTTAAGGCAGTACCAACTGTCGAAGTTAGCACAGAGCCTACGAAACGGCCAGAAGCAGAAACCGTCCCAACCACGACGTCCGAAACCACCGTCGCAGGAACAACAACAAAAACAATAGTGACGTCTACATTAACAACAAAAACGACAGAGATGACGAATTCGGAAGACGCGACTTCATCGGAGGTGACTACAACAGAGACAGCAGGAACAGCAAAAGCGAGAGCAACAACATCAACCACGACAGTGAAAACAACATCAGTAGCTTCTACGATAACAGCTCAAGCTACAGCGACATCCTCTAATGGCAGTGTAACACCTTTAATGACCACAGAGCCGACCTCAGCAGAATCGTTTACTAAAGATTCACCAACGACAGAAAATTCAGACCGTCGTGGAAAAGCGCTTCCCGCTCCAGAAGACAATGAAGAGCAGCACAGCGTTCCAAAAACCGTCCTCATCAATGGGGACACTCGGAACTATTCCGACGTACAAGACAATCACCCCGTAGTGAACGACGTCGGCATGAATGCTTCCGATCCGCGTAAGCGGCGCGCAGCAAACTGGTTTGTGTGGCTACTGGACAGTGAAAACATTGGCAAGTCATTCGTGGGTGACGTAGGCCGATTCACGTCATCGCGCGACATAATCTATGTTATCGCTGGGGCTGTCCTGGTGTCAACCGTCTTTGCCATGATGGGATTGTACTGTACACTTAAATCCAAGGCACCAACACACAGCCGCCAAATTAGATGAGTTATTCATCTGCATTGCAATAGAAAAAAGTTGCCGAAAACTTTCGCAGATTGACTCAGGCCATTTATTTCAGTTAAATCTATTTTAGTTACTCTGGTTTTGGTTTCACATATTTATCAAGAAACGATATATGCAGAAAGTGTTCAGCAAAATTCTCCTTGTGCCCCAGTGAACATAATTCTTACGGATTCGATTAAGAAATCTTTTTAGATTTTCGTTTCCAGAGTGACCGTTTTCAGAATATTGAAATGAGTTATGAACGATATATGAAATCAACGATTTTATAAAGCCAGTGGCTGACCGCCTGAAATATATTTCAGAAAACAATTACCCATGCCATAATAATACTTAGAAAAAGCGGAACCTTTGTCTCTAAAATAATAAAAATAATGTATAGGAACGGATTGCATGTGATAACAACTATGTATACCACTATGAGTGGTTATAGACAGGAGATTATTATCGCGACATCCAAGACCTACAAAATTAGTAACGGTTTTAATCAAAATTGCCTCATCTTGCGGAAATTTGTACGATACCCTAAAGCCGAGTTCAAGCTGGAAGCGTTTGAAAGAAAAGCCTTCGACGGAGAGCGTATAGTTATGCCCAGAGATTAAGGCTGAAGTGAGTTACTTTTAAGCGTTGAATTAATCAATTTACGAAGCCGACAGTGCCGTTAACGAAGGGCATCTCAAGGAAAACTGAATTATCATTAGCGCAAGGATTTTTTTCTATTTATTGGAGTGGTACCTATATCAATCGATGTTAAAAATAGCAGGGTAAATAGAAAATAAGAAGGATCGCTTGCCGTTCTGTAAATAGCAAAGTAGCATATTCAAACTAAGTAAGTGGATATAACGCTCAACAAATCGACTGTAACAAGAGCAATGTAAATATAATGAACGTCGGATTGTAAATAAATGATAGAAGAAAATTAGTCAAAAAAGTAAAATGCCAAAAGATATATACACTCAAGTTTATATATGTCACATTTCTAACGCCACTTTCAGATCACTGTACATATTATGTGACGTGATTCTTTGCAAAACGGCCTGAGTTCAATATAATTTAATTCAAAGAATTCACTTTTGAAGGAGAATAAGATCACAGAAGAAGGAGAATAAGCTCTTTAATTTTTATATCTATATTTCAAAGCAGAACTATCAGTGAACTAAAGACGCGATTTTGTTCTTAATTTTAGCATAGTCCTAATAAAATCAATATATACTGAAATCATTCACATGTCCATTTTCGACGTGGACACTAGTGTTTTCTCGGACATTAATGTGCTAGATTTTCTCGGGTGTCCGTCATTATTTTGAGTTTATAATTTACTTTAAAAATGTCAAATAAGTTTCATCACTTCAAATTGTACGATATTTAAACAACGGTAATGATCATACGGTGCTGTTCATTGCAAAAAGCTCAATCTGAAATTTTTTAATATACGTATTTCTTTGAATATCCCGAATATTCTCCAGTCTACCAAATGATCTCAGCCATGTTTTCAACGTAACTTCAAAGACCATAAGTCTATATAACACGCAGACTTGAATGGTAATCTCCCATGCAATAATTATAGAAATATGAAAGTTTCAAAAAGGCCCTTTTGATCACGGAATTAAACGTTTTTTTTTACGCAAGCAATATATTTTAGATAACTTGTAGAATGTTTTCGCTTTGAATTACGCCAAGCCAGTTCAATATGCAGAGAGTTTTTGAAGGATCTTACTTCAGAATTGCACAGCAACCCTTTTTGCACCAAAGCACTTTATTATTACGTTGTCCGTAGCAGTTTAGCAGATCGACAAACGAGAATAAATTTCAAACTACGCGCCAGTAGTAAATGATATGCTGTCAAGATTTACATCAAGTCCTTGGCTATCTACAACCATGAGCCAATTGGGTGTCATAACACACTGACGACCAAGTTAGACAACACCTTTGCATCTGAATTCATTATGGTGATGATGGTGATAATTATCTGGTGACACTTTGTCAGCGTGTAGCCGTAGATAGCCAAAGAGTTGAAATTACTATTTTTGAAAAAATAATTGGAAAAATATCAAACAAAATAAATAGCTAAACAGTTCCGCCTGTTCGGCATAGTTTTATTAATTATTTTATTTTAGGTAAAAATGACACGCATCTGGGTGACTTCGCTAATATGTTCTACATGAATGAAACTCTATAGATATTGATATAGTAACAGCAAATCACAAATACGACATGTCTGGGACAAATAGGTAATATTGTTCTGATTCGGAAGCTGGTGTGCGTAACTCGACTTCAAACATTTCTAAAATTTGAGGTGGCTGTCCGATTCGATAATATTTATTGCATAGAGAATGAAAGGAGATAAATATCAGTATATTAGACTAATTAAATAGATCGTGCCCTATTTCCATTTTTAAATTTTAATTAAAAATGCGCTTTACTAGCAATATCTTATGGTTGCCTTGGTGGGCTCGGTTGCTTTTGAGTCTTCCGTACTTAAAGAAGCCACATGGAAATATTTAGCTATTACTATGTAAGAAATAATTACATTACGTTTATGCTTATTTTTATAGATACTGCACTTTAAAACTTACTGTAAAATACACCGTACTTATGATATCAGAAGCGTAGGCAAAAATGTATTACGTCGTAACTGGCTATTTGTTCTGCTTCATGTGCAAAATTTGGTTTTGTGTAGTTGGATGATAGGATGGTGGTATTTAGATATATCTCAAAGAAAAAACAGGAAGTTGTTGGTATTTTATCTAATGCTTCACAAGCACCGTTGAGAGGTTTAGCTTATGCAACTTTTCTCGTAAAAGTCTATAATAAGGGTTGTCTTACATGTCTCGCATCTTTCTTGCTGCATAAATACGCTAACGACAAAATTTTTTTACAGGTGGCAATTAATTAGTATAATTCCGTAAACCAAGGCCTGATTGAGTACCCTGCTCAAAATTGAAACTTGAAAGTCATTAACGTAAAGCATTTGAAATATTACTATAAGGTTCTAATAACAATTTAGCGTTCCGTTAACACCTTTTTGTTTATGTGAAGCGACCAAACAAAAGTTCTACTCCAACGTCAGATGTAGAGATATGTTTGTTTAAATGTTTTTAATATTAAAGCAAATTTACAACATTTTACATCGAAGAATAAATATATTGTTATAATATTAAAAAAATTGCATTATATTGCAATAGACTTCTAAGCTGTATGATAATTTTTAGGAAACATAGTCTGATTCCCAAACCTGCTGGTGTCCTGCGTCACTGTCAAGGTTTAGTAATTCAGCGAAACAATCCGCCGTATATTGCATGTATTAGATATGTATTATAACATTAGTAGGAATGTATCACTTATAATACTGGATGGACCTGGTCCAAATTAATCGACCGGTTACTTTCTTAGCTACATAATGCGCTCTGAGAACTTTACTGATAGAATCATAAAAGAAGATACGCTTTTGGGATCACGTCTAAATTTACTATTGAGTGGGAAGTAACTATCAATGAGACCTCACGCACACACATTTGCGTATACCTATTTATATATTTTCAAGAACTTAAACTTTCGAAAACTATCATAAAAAAGGCCAACCAGATAAAAAAGAAAAACAATTTGTTCATTCTGAGTTACTCTTACATTGAGACAAATTTCTAAATATAGCAAGTTCAGTCTTAGCAGAATTGCCATTATGTGAACAAATGGCACAATTTAAAAAAGCCCAGGTTTGACGGAAGGACCAAACTGACTGCTAATAGCAATTTAAAGTTTACGACCTTTAATCAGGCATATGCATTATAAGTAACGTCTTCGTTAAGCAGGTACAAAATTCAGCAAACAAAGGTTTCGAATAGCTGAAAATAATGATCATATTTTGGTAAGTCTGCTCAAAATTACAAATGTGAATATATGAATAGTACCATTAATCCCTTAAAGATCCATTATTAGCATACAAGAAATGTACGCATCACAGTTTCGCATTACAATACTATCGGTTACTGAGCCCTTACCTAAGGGATTAATGGGACAGGGCTAGTTGAAAAATAGAACATATAAGAACAAAAATAATTGTTTGTCTACGCAAATATGTTCGTTTATTAGCAATTACAGCATATAAATATATAGCAATGAATATATATGTCGATTCTATTATGTTCATTACTAACGCTGTACAACTATCATGACGTGGCGTTATCGTCCATTTGGCATTTTCTTGCTATTGTTCCAGTGGACCTCATTTTCTAAAGAAAACTGCAAATTTGGCTCCGTTGTAACTTCAATGATCTCGTGTCCAGTTTTTTTCGCGAGCTGAAGAGCGTCTTCTTCCACGTACATCAAATAACTCCAGTCCAAAGGCATAAATATATGATCCTGCAAGAAGCGTCCGTATAGTTGTAGTTTGTGTACTTCGTCCTAATATACAGCCTTTACAACACCCAATAATGAATAATAAGCATATTAGTAATCCATTTAAAAAATATTACATTATCAAGCTGCCTCCGCAGTCTTTTACCAATCTTAATGCTAAAGAATAATCCAAATCACCGACACATTACGTCATATATAAAAACATTCACCAAAAACGAAATTCATTCGAAATACGCATTAGCATAATTCTCAATTTCGTTTCGTCCTGTATTAAAATACGGATGTTCCGTTAAGGTCGCTTGTCTCGTTTGTCTCACCAGATCTTGCCCCATTTTTCACCTACGCTTTAACCCTTTTCCCTCAGTGATTATCATGGCATACGATTAACATCGTATAGCTAGCCGGCAACTTCCATGCAGTGCTCAATCAGCAAATCTCCACCGTACGCTACGTACGGAAACATTATAGCACCAGTAGCTGTATACAGCGGCAACTATTGTCCTCGACTCTCCTAGAGTGGCTGTGTCGTTTCATCCACAACTAAAATTGCGCGGGCCTCCTCCTCGCGGTGGGAACACTCAGCTGCATCGAAGGGCCAGTAGCTAAGTTGCAGCAGCAGTTGTACACATAGACACGGCCAGAGTGCAGTAGGTGGAGCCTCGTACATTGTAGAAACATCAAAGCAACAGCAGTGAGCAACACAAGTGCATATGTGTGTGAGTACGTGTGTATGTGCGTGTGAGAGTGACCGTGACGTACTGTCCTAACAGAGCAGTCATAGCGGCTATAAATGGATCTTCGGCATCAGGCGACAATAATTACATCAGCAACGTTAACGACGTTAACCGACTGACGGTGATCGTCTGGAGAACCCAACGTGAGCTACGAACGGCAGTACTGCTAAGCGTAAGGTAGGGCAGCACTGGTGGTGGTGGTGAGGAGGCGCCGACAATATTGGGATGCTGATATGAGGGCGTGTGATCGTGAGCGAAACAGGTACGGCTGACGACAGCGGAATTGAACAAGTGTTATCGCATTAAAGGCCACGTTCCAGTAGCTGATGGGACTTCAGAGTTCAGTTAATAAAAAAAAAAGTAAACTTAATATTCGTGGCAGGAGAGTGGAGGCCCAGAGGCGAAAGCAACAGGCAAAAACGCTTTATGCAGCTTCATGTTAGACATATTTCGTCGTATAGAAAACTAGCATCGAGCGTCCGGTTCTATGTGACCGTTGGCAGAAGTGAGATCCTTTACGGTCAGAGGCGCAACGGCTACTTGGAGAAAACCCTTCCAGTGTGCAGGTGAAGTGGCGGTGAGAACAACTATACAGGTGTGAAGGTGTTATAGAAACATGTTTGGACGACGGGGCTGGTTCGGGGGTTGGGGCTCGAAACCTCGGAACCTCCATAGCACCGAGCATTTGAAGTGAGTATTTTTGTGTACGTTAGTTACGCACATACGAAGTAGATCGTTCTATATGAATGGATCAGCAAATGTTCAACTGCTCTTGACAAGCACAGTATTTATATAAAACATATTTGTATAATCTAGCACTACTTGAACGTTCGTTATGGGACAGCACCTGCTTAGCGGCGAGCTACTGGAGATACCAAGCACGTTCCAATTACCAAGCAATTTGACCTGCCCAAGCCTGACTCATAGTCACTTCGCTCGTAACGGCGTCCTATCAGTTGTGGCCGCTATTCAATTAAGCAGACAATGTTGTTATGGAAAATCCGTAGATTGTTAGACATTTGGGGCAACTATCTACCTAAAGTCAAGCGGACCAAACGCGCAGTCAAAATGCGCTTAGTGTGCCGCCGAGCCAATCTGTCAGAGCCAGTACCTGTCTTTACCGTAAAGGACCATAGGTGATAGTGGCCTTCCGATCCGTGACAGTGGCAGCAACAATGGCGCCGTTCAACCAAGTTTTCCTATAAAATATGCTCCAGCAAGTACGTAAAGAATTATGTGAACTACAGCCGTGCAAATTCTGCTCCAGCGTTCAGTGCGGCGAGAAAGTATAATAGTATCCAAGTAGAACGAGGTTTGCATGAAGAAAAGTAGGTATTGTCATTTTCCTGGCGGAATGAAAACGTTGTATCATTTTCTCCATTCAGATCACATAAGTGATTGAATCAAGACTAATTCATGTCATACAAACGAAAATGTCAACCAAAGTTAGGTTATGCTTTGTGTCTGGTCCTCATATTTGTGTAAACCTAAATTCATTCTCTAAGTCACAACAACAAGAAGGCAATGAGGCAACGGCGATTTGGAGGACGACACCCCTGTGACGTATATAACTTGGCTCTACCTATGATCTTGTGTTGTCCTGATGCACTTGCGTGCATATCTGTGCTCAGAAGTTGTCAGATAGATGCTGTTCCGTATTCATTGCTAAGTGCTTTAAGGTTCAGAGGGGGAAAAAACCGCCTATGGAACACATATGGCATGCATGTGGAAGCACGCTATTACGACTTGTATTTTCTGATAGTGAAATCCTTAAAAACTAACGTACACTCGGATACAGATATATATATATATATCTGTATCCGAGTGTACGTTAGTTTTTTTGGCTCAGACCTTGGCTGTTTAGTGTTCTGTCACCAGGAAAATAAACAGACCACAAAAAAGGTAGCGGTTATTACTGGCGTGATTGCAGTAATGAATTGATGTTTTCTTAATTTTGAAATGAAAAAATTTGACATCGTTATTTATACTGATAATAATATATCAGATATATCTATATTGACTGTGCGGATGTTCGTTTACGAGAAACATTCTTTTGAGAAAAACATCAGCCGGAGAATATTATTATAGGAGAATCTTGATTGTTTTATGATGACGGTATCAGTTTCATCAATGGCAGCTGTATAAGCGATGAAAAAATAATAGGTAATCATGTGTGGAAAGAGGACTGCAACAGCCTTTGGGGTCTGGCTTGAAGTTAGTGATAAAAGGAAACCCGGCCGATAACGTTTCATTTGTAGATCGAAAGCGTAAGCGATTTGTGTGCATGTATTATAAAGAAAGAAAAAAATAATAAAAAAAGAAAACTGTAAGCCAGATACTAATAAACAGCAGCTAGTAATTAAAGATGCGTTTAAAGATACTCAGGGATTATTATTACTTAATTTACTGTTTAATTTACTCAACATTTTGAGCCTAGAGCTCTGCGAGACATCGCTGGATTTGAACGCACTATTATCTTTTTAAGATTTTGTTGATAAGGTGTTTTCCTACTCGCTAAAAAGAGCTTTGATATCCACAGTTAATGCTGTGTAACTGTTGTAAACCTACATTTCTTTTTTGGTTAGATTAGAAATCAGCCTTTATAAATGAAAATAACCACAAACATTTCCGTTGCTAATAATGATTGGTAAAGTATATTGTATTCACCTTGATTAAGGTGTTTCGCTATATAAGCACTACGTTTTTCAAGCAAATCTCTCAAACTACTGTTGACGCTTTCCTATGCGGAACATATTGCCTCCTTGATTTTAAATTAATGACAGAGTTACTACACTCTGATAGAATAATCTCAATAAAGCAGCTGATTTCAGTTTTCTGTCCTATGAGAACTCTACATGAATCGCGGACTTCACCAGCACATAGCTACGCTTATATGATGTACGTCTTACATACCTGCTTAGTTATCGACTGCAGGCAAAAACGCTGACAAACCAGTATTTTTACTTCATTTTCACCAATGGTAATTGCTACGAATTTTCACTTTTTGAATTAAAGAAGTTCTCTATTACTTATTATCTACAACGTATAAAGCCTTTCTACCACTTACTGGTCAATACTGATAATAAGCTAAGCACCTGTAATAGCGACTGCCCCATTCAAGCTAACTAAATGTTTCTAATTCATAAACTTAATAAAAAAAGGTAATGTGATAGATGAGAGATATTAGTTTATGGCATTGATGCGATGTGGTATGTTGATACCACATCAGGCACACAATCAGAGTTGTTGCCAGCATCAGACTCAATCATTTCAACGGAGCAACAAAAGGTTTTTATATCGTAAGTTTATATACAAGCCTCTTAAATAGCTTGGACTGCTAAGGAAGAGGTACGTCGATTATGCATAAGAAATATGCATAAAAGACTCGCATACCGAATAATTTGAGAGTAGGAAACTAAGCAATGACCACTGACGGCCTTATGCCATTCATGGTCGCTTTCTGCCCCAGTCAAGGCAATAGGTGGCAGCTTTGAAACCATATCTGAGAAGGCAATAAAAGCTGAAGCGGGAAATGTATGGGTGCAGATCCTTAAATAAACCAAGATTGACTAGCTGAAATGGGCTCATTCGTGTGTTGCGTCAGGGACGTACAATGGGAAAAATTTTCTTATTGTAAACGTTTTTTTTTAATACGAAGTTACTAGTAATAATTACATATTAATTTCATCGCTACATATGCTTATTCTAATGATGTATATTTACTTTTGAACACATTAAAAAACAAGCGCTTGCCTAAAGAGCTATTATTGATATCGCTGATCTGCAACTCCCTCACTTATATTAGTATTATTATTTACGCATAAAACGCTCCTCTGGTGGCTTCCTACATATTCGTTTCATCCTACATTAGGGATCGGAAACAGGTAAAAAGGTAATCGTGGAAGTTTTTCTTTGGTCGGATTAACAGATCATTTCAAATTCATCTCCCCTTCATTCAAAAAAACCCTTATTTACCTTCATGTGCATAAATCAGTTGTAGTACACATTATTGGTGAAATTGCGCTATTTCTTCGTTTAAGATAGACTACATGAAAATAGCTGTAACCTTAATGTTTAATTACCACCGTCCACAGGCCATAAAAATGGTCAACCCTAGTCAATCGTTTTCAACTTCTATATTGATACATTACATACGTTTCCTTTAGTAATTCACTGGTAACTGCCCACACTGGGCATTCAATAGGTGGACAGTCTCGGATTACACTTATTCGTTTGCGAGGCCTCTTTTCATTTGTTTTGGATTTCTCGCGCTTTTTTATTGATTGCTGACATAATAATCTAATCGCACGTTAATGCAAAGAATATAAGAACTTTTTGTTTAGTGGTGAGCTTATAATGAGTGAGGTATCTGATTGCATGCAGAATTTACGGAGAAAACGAGACGGGGCGCCGGTCACCTTTAGCTTCTAGAGTTTCCGATTAAGCAAAGGTTAGTTAACACGAATAATGGTTCTTGCTGGCAGTATACCCAGATTTTTTGTTGAGGTATTTAGACTTTTTCTTTAAATTTTAACATTCTCGTAGAGTTGACGGTCCAAAACTGTGTTAACACTGCCCAAATAGATTTAGATCATGATTTTACCGCTCAAAGTATGACCTAAAAAGGTCGTGGAAGCTTTCCTTCTCTAATATTGCAGAATGCGATACCTGAGTTGTTTTCGTAATGAGTTCATTGAGCAATGAGTGCCTATACATATAGCCTCAGAAAAGTTAGCGCTCAAGTATGGCGGGATAAAAATCGGATTCTCACTTTCTCTCTCTCTCTCCCTCTCTCTCTCTCTCTGTCTGGCTGTTATCCATTAAATAGAACGAACAGCAACGTTTACAGCTTTTAATAAATTTTTCTCCTGCGATAAAACTTGACATCTTCCTGCATCCTAAAGAATGAAAAATAATTGTAAATAAAAATAATTTTATCATTATTCCCAGTCATGCCATCCAACTTGATCACTAATATAATCGGAATCCTCAGTTAGTTTCTCCTTTATCCGAAGTCTATTACCATCGTTTTTCTAATCTGAATGTCTTTATTGGTACTGTGTTTTGTTATCTAGTTTTTAAGAATTAAGCTGCATATTAGTATATGACGAAGTAGTCGAGAACTCCTGTTGAAGTCCCACCAATGTCGACCTTACAGTGAAAAATCGCTCTTTTCGTTATCTTCTATGGCGCCTTTATGGTTAGGTTTAAGTAGCTTTCCTTTTATTAAATCAGCGTGAGATTCATAGACTACTACTATTGACAGTAAAAAAAAGGACCTCCTTAATTTTAAGCCCTTGTCATACTTCCTGATGTTCACTTCGTAAAGATCCTACCTGAGTAATATAATCTGCTTAGCTTTTTAGGATGTGCTTACTTAAACAGAAGATAGTAATGCTTGCAAATACAGGTGATACATCTTTGGTTGGCAGTTTCCACCTTTACACACAAAGAATTAGTGCGAGTATAAATGGACTACGATTGTTGGTTTTCATCGCAAATGGGAAAACAAGAACTCGTTGCGTAACTAAGTCTCGTTGCACTCTTGTCCAGAAAGATTTTTGCTCTCATAGTATGACTTTATTTTATTACTCGTGAATCCAAAGGTCGACATTTATTAAATTTTAATATTTTAGTCTAGTGATCCATAAATGATCACGTTCCCTTGTTCTTTATTATATTCATCCATATGACTTAGAATTTATGTTATGATGGCTAAAACGTGGTGAGTCAGGTAACAGCACCTTTCCATACGTAGTAATAAGCTTTGAACAATTGTTTCTCACCTTCATTTATGTCTGTTTTTGTATTTTTGGTTTGAGAAAATAGCACCTCTAGAGACCATCGTTTTTTACAGCATATAGACGATTTGACTAGAAAATGTCGCTATAACACAGCAATGAGCATAGTTAAGGGACAGTTAAAGGCAGGGATTGTTTTCGCTACAGAAACGATGCCAGGACAAGAAGTTTGTTCAAGTTGTAGGAACGTCGTAGATTATGTTCCATCAGAACAAGCATGCACCGGTGACCGCCTAATCACCTATCAGAAGTTGTCAGTTTAGAAGCATGATATTTTGATTTCTCGGACTTTAATCGGACCATCCGATTAAAGTCCGAGAAACATATATTCTTTTACAAGTTTTACTGGCGATTGATGTGCACTTCGATGTATCAATGACTAGAAAGCTAGAACGTTATCTTTAGTACAAGCCTTAAAGCCAATTACCAAATAGTAAAATGATAAGTATTTGTCTCTCTAATCGTTGGCACAATAATCTTACGAAACTGACGGTGGGCCCAGACCAGCCGGCTACAACAAGCTTGGGACATAGCAGAGACAAGCAAAAAATAGGAAGTAGCCCTACCTGTCGGACAGGGAACAGGAGGTTATTTTCGCTAGGGTTCGTTCTACGTCCATATGTCGACGCTCGCAGAGAGCAACGCTGAGCTGAAATCAATTACTGCCGACAACTCGCTAGTCGATAGCAGTAGTTTGACAAGATCGGCAACTGGAGTGCATGACAGAAAAATATTTTGTATTGGCAATTGCATTTTTCTAGTATTCACAGGCTTACAATTGTTTTTTCCTAACCAGCAAGACAGTGGAAATCCACAGTCTTACACTTTGAAGAGTGGTGTGCGATTCACCACTGGGTGCGTATGATATATTATTTGTTTCACTCACTTTTATTATTTACCTGAATTCGCCATACTTCATAGAGACAACGTGAACAAAGATCAGTAAAGGATGGTCGGCCTATGACGCTTGTATATCTGCGCAAATAGTGCCACGCAGCAAAAAAAATTATGAGGGTCCGGATATGTCTAAATCCACATCAAAGTTTCCGTGAGAAAGGCTCTAAATTCAAAATTTCACAGCTAGTATAGCATTAAAAAAATGTATTCAGTGTAACTTAATCAAGCAAGATAAGCAGCGCTTGATATAATCTTATTTCCTACCTACCTACCCATACTTATTTAGGCTAGGCAATAATGCATGCGTCACTTCTATACATATTCATTAATGCTGTGCGGATCTTTCTCAAGAATGGCACTATGAAAGTTTTATTATATCATAATACGCATAATATGAGTCTACATTCTAGGTTAGCGAGTTAACAAGACTCGGCACTACTAAGCTCTTTTTAGTAAGCATAATAAGGCAAAAAGCAAAAACTCTATGAAAAATAAATGATTCCTTAGATAAAACGACAGAGCCAGTATTAGGTGTATAGAAATCAATGGGTGAAGGAGCTCGTACGAACGAGCACGAATTTATACCGGATAGCCTAACAATTGTACTTCTCTTAAATAATATTTCTTAAGGGTGAATCCGAGGGCGTTCTGCCGAGCCATGATGTTAAGTTGTACAATATTTCTATTCGACTAACGCATAACGACTTTTTGCCCTGTGCCATCCTTTTTGCCATTTCTTCTTCATCGAATTTCAGGTACCTGTATGCGGTGCTGTGCAAAAACCAGGTGGTCACAGAGCAGAATAAAGATCTTCTGGTAGAGACTCTAAGAAGCATTTCTGAAATCCTGATATGGGGCGATCAGAATGATGGATCGGTGTTTGATTTTTTCCTTGAGAAAAACATGCTTTCATATTTTGTTAAAATTATGCGCCATAAACAGGGCCGATTCGTGTGCACGCAGCTGCTGCAGACGCTGAACATTCTCTTCGAGAATATACGACAGGACACCTCTCTCTGTGCGTATTGTCGATAATGTAATCTATAGATCGGGGGGTTTGTGTGCCATATTTTGAGCACGGTTAAGGCCAAAGTAAATTACCATATTAGAGTTTTATAAGCTGTGTCATAATGAATAGCTCGTTTCGTTATAGATAACTGATACAGAAAGATTGAATTAAATATAGATCGACGTAGCTGTTCTTCTGTCCTTCTAGTGCTAACGACGCAAGTCTTGCGTGCCTTTAAGTATTTATATATTCTTACATGATTTATATAAAGCAAGTTTTCCGTTTTGAAAATTATTTAAAAATGCTTAATGAGAACATAAAATTAAAATGCTTAACAAATGCTTCATTTTAGTCGACTAGTCAAGTTTAAGATGAAATCTTGTCCAACTGTACTTGGGCCGAATTTAGTATTTCGTTTACTAACCGGATTGTTTTTTCCCTTCTCGATTTCCCTCACAGATTACTTGTTGTCAAACAATCATGTTAATTCCATTATCGTCCACAAATTTGATTTCACGGATGAGGAGGTTATGGCGTACTATATTTCGTTTATTAAGACGTTGTCGCTTAAGTTGACATCACATACGATACACTTTTTCTACAACGAGCACACCAATGACTTCCCGCTATACACGGAGGCGATTAAGTTCTTCAAGCATCCGGAATCAATGGTGCGGATCGCTGTTCGAACGCTTACGCTAAATGTCTTCAAAGGTGAGTAGTAATACTAGCGTCGAAAACTTCGTTTGCTACTAATATATTAGAGAGCCCCCTTCAGAGAGGAAGATTTATTACAAAACAAAAGACACATCGTCAGTCTCTGATGTTTTAATCGTTTCTTTGCCATCTACCATTATTTTCGTTTACAGTACAAGACGAGGCCATGCAGCGATTCATTCGCGATAAGACAGCGGCTCCGTACTTCTCTAATCTCGTTTGGTTTATCGGCAAGAACGTCCTCGAGTTGGACACATGCGTCGCCGCTGCTGCTACAGACCACAAAGCACAAGGGCGACTCGCTGATTTAGTTGCTGAACACCTCGATCAGCTCCACTATCTCAACGATATCCTTTGCCTAAACATCGCCCCGCTGAACGAAGTCCTCACTGATCACCTACTCAACAGATTATTTCTTCCATTGTATATTTACTCGTTGACTGGTACAAAAACATCGCCGGCAAGTCGAACGTCACCTCATGTTTCACCAATCTTAGCCCTATTCCTTCTCAATCAAGTATTCTTAATCATATCTCACAGGCCCCTCGTCCGCCAGCTGGCGGATGTTCTATTTAACGGTACAATGGAGATATTCAATAAGGACAACACTCAGAGCTCAAACGGTGATAGTACAGGAGACGGTGTCGCAACCACTGGTACCGGCAGTTTGGCACTGGAAAATTACAGCGGTCGCTTCAGGCCAGAATTTATACCGCCGGAGGAGCCACTTGAGTTGAGTTTGCAGTCAACATCGAGTGGGACTCCATCACTGTCTGGGTCAGGCTCCGAGGCTGAGGAGACTGATGCTGCTGTAACTGATGTAGGCACTAAAAAGTCTTCAAAAGATTCACTGACATCAGCTGGCGGTGGAGCGGCTGTGGACTTCAATGAGGTTCAACCGAGTAATCAAATTGTCGTCGATGTCGGCCGCGAAAATGCGCGGTTCACCCCAACTTCAAAGTTGAAAAATGACGCAAACGGTAGCGACGTAGTAGAGGTTGAAGAGGGTGAAGAAGCTGTTGCAATGCATACGGGAAGCAATATCACAGATGAAGAGAAGATCCGACAGCAAGGCTTGCCTTTATCAGTTGACGAGCCGCAGACCGGAATAGCTCGAGAAGTAGTTGCAAATAATTCTAGTCTAAATAGTCAGCATTTTAGGTGAGTTATTTTATACATATCTCAAAGATCAGGTGTTCATGCACATATGATACGGACAAAACATAAGATTCGGATATATTTCGGAAAAGTAGTTATATCACTAAAAAAGTGACATAACTTGATAAACAGCAAAGATGTTTTCTTTTTAATTTACCCATCACAGAAATACATGCCTTTATATCCTGGATAATAATCTTATAGCAGAATAATAGAGAAAAGAGCGCGTTATTCTGTATAAACTCTCAAGTAGATAATCTGAGAACTGTTCCTTTTGGATGCGAACCGCATATTATATTCACCGGTACTTCATGACTGTTATTAGCGTTGTTGTCTTATTGTTACTGTTACTGTTAGCGTTTGTTACTGTTTTTCCCCAATTATGTGTGCAGTTTATCTGATGGCGTAAGTTCTGGTGCGGCCGATGACGAAGCGGAAGAATCTGACAATGCAATCCTTGATCTCCATCGGCGACCATTCCTTAGCGCAATTTTTGACGCCCTCAACGTGGAAAATAGCGACCATGGCGCATTGTTTGCATTGAGTTTGCTATATGCGCTGGGTCACAACTCCGGTGAGTGGTTACCACTGATTAAAGAATATACCACAGTGAATAGGAAAAAAAAGGATGTATTACAGTCATGAGTCATTCATCGAATCCGTACATTATCAAGATCCCATAGATGTACTTACTTATTATTTACGCGATTTGCTTATGTGAATATGTTAACAAAACATCTATACTTCACTCTTTAGAAAGAAAATTAACAAAGCAACCCAGGCATCAAAATATTGAGAAAAACTTGCTTTTTGTGTTGCCTAATCAGTACACAAGTGATCGACTCCGAACAATGCCTATAGAATACTCGCGTGTTTCCCGCTTGGATTTTTTATTGTTATTCGACACATCTATAATTTTACGGTGATGGAAATTGTGCATTTCTGCTGAATCGCTGTGATGCTCAAGTAAACTTTAATAGATAAATCAAAATTATCAAGCAAATGTGAATCGAATTCGGCAGTGCTCATTGGGTAACACCTTTACCGACGTTCTATGTTTGCTAATTATAATAATGTACTATTTTAAATGTCAGCTGATTATAATTTCCTGCTCACTGCTGTTGCACCCTTTCTCTTTTGCACGCTGTCTCAGACGGTAAGCCTGGAAGGAACCACACTGTGACCGGTTGTCACTATCAAATAAATCCATTTTGATGCTTGTCTAGATGATATACCATTGTTATTGTAATTATAATTTGCCTTGCTGGAACCCAAACCGTAAAATTTTTATGTCACAATAATAATGGTATTTTGGTCAGGTTAAATTAATTGTGTATGTGTACACTGTGTCATACTGTCGTACGATTTGCATTATGTTTATCTAACATTTCCTCATATTGCTAATATTTTAATCCATCATGACTGTTCTGTATTTTATGCTATTGTACTACTGGATCTCAACGTAGTCCATGTTCTTTTACTCCGGTTTATACATCGATGGATATACCCGTCGACGTTTCTATCTACAACGCTCTTAATGTTTTGTGCTCCTACGTAATAACGTTTCACCTATTTCGTTGATCTTTTTCACTCGCCAATCGCTCGCCTTGCTTCGAATCGACTCAACCGAATCTATGATCACACAGGAATTAACCAGGAATTACTAGACACGATTCTGTTGCCAGCAGAGCGCTGCGCAGTAAAGGACGGCTATAATGGCGCACTGATGACCCGGCTGATGCGGATTATTCGCCATGCGTGCGTCTATGGGACCCGAGTCCGACTAGCTACCCTTGAAATGGCCATTCTTCTCATTAAGCAGTTGGCCGTCATCCCGGCCGATGCTCAACGGACCCCCAGTCCTATGCGGCCGCAATCACCCCAGGAGTCAGCGACCTCTAGATCCTCGCCAGGATCCGAGGCGCTGCCAGATAATGTCTCAAGAACTTTATTACCAGCTTTAGTAAGCGGTAATTATAATCATTGTAGCAATAATAGCGAGCAACAACGTCAGCAGTCTCAACAGCAACAATCTACTAGTTGTCTTCGCGAAGCGCATCTATATTTAGTTAAGCGCGCCCGGGACGAGAGCGCTCTCTTGTTGAAAGGATTCCTCAAGAGCGATGAGATCTTCCTGGACATGTTCGAAGAGGAGTACGAACAAGGACTGAAGGCGCTCAATGTTGAGTATCTCATGATGGATGGTAACTTACTACTACCGCCCATCGGGACACCAATGAGTGGGCTCGATTTTCATAAGCGTCTGCCGTGCGGCGAGGTCGAACGAGCTATCCGGGCGATAAGAGCTTTCTTCTTAATTAGGTAAGAACGACTGCAGATAAAACGGACGGTTTGATTGTTGGTAAGCGGTTTTCGGAAGGCTGACTTTTGCCTATAAGTTTCGTTAAGAGCTGTATAGTCCACAAAGCTATAAAATCAGGCTCGATTTACAAGCAGGGTTTACGGAAAAACGTTTCGGTACGTTAAACTAAATGAAACTACCGCCGAAACAGCTAAAACATTGGCTTCGTGAAGGTTTGTGAATTTAATAGGTACGGACGACTGAGTACTGAGTATGTACTGTGTCTTATATTGTAGGATGATAATTCTGTGAGAAAATCCCGTGGTTAATAACAGTGACTATTTATTTTTGTGCTTGTAGGCATTTGTGCTTAGTTCTTCGTGGCGAAGCTGAAACTGAACTTCCGCTTACGAAGGAGTCCGACTTGGTTCGCGTTGGCCAGGTGTTGGACCTAACTAATAACGATTTAGTTGCTTGTACTGTCTACACCATTAAGGATAATTCCAAACTCAAGCGGTTTATGGTTATCGATAGCGCACAGGTATGTACTATAATGCGCCAACTATTAAAAAGACATCCTAACTACCTGCCTTACACCGTGTTTACATTCTTAAAATAACCTAATTATAATATAGGTATAGATAATTCATTTGCCATTAAACCGTTTTAGTCCTGGAAGCTTTTTTGCGCTATTGTCATATGTAGTATGAAGCTTGGGGTTCTACATGTTGATGTTTATAAACACGAGTTTCACCTTAATTTTGTCACCCTGTATGTACACTGTTCCATGAAGGTCATCCTTGTGAAGCCAGAAGCAACTCGTTTAGGATTCGGCGTGGTACGTCTTGCTGGCCTGCTGCAAGACATTGAGGTCACAGGCGATCAGCATGATAGCCGTGCCCTTCACATTACTATTCACAGAGCAAGCTGTGAAGCTGGTGGACGACAGGGTGGGGCAGGCAGTGGGACAGCCTCACGGGCTGCGGCTCACGGTCCACCCAAGAGGCCACCACTGCTTGCGGCCAAGTTCATATTCGACGATCATATACGGTATGCCTACAAGGATACAAATGCTTCTTCAATGGTATCTTCCACCGGTTTTTAGGATCTTTTAGTGATGTATTTATCATATGGCTTTGGCTCGCATTCGCTCTAGAACGAAGCGTTCATACATTACGTGTGTACGTAACGGATCAAATACAGAGCACCGAAACCATGAAAGAATAGGAAATATTACAAAGTCAATATGGAGGTTTGTCATCGTCGTATCGAAGGTCACACCATTTGATGATTAAACCCCCACACACTTATTTAAGGGTGTTTATTTATTATCGTCAAAAAGATAAATGAACATTTTAATATCCAGTTTACGTTTTCTTGTGCAACAATCACTGTCAACGGCTATCTCAATGCAGGTGCATGGCAGCCAAGCAAAAGTTGACCAAAGGCCGCCTTCGGGCGAGGCAGAAGAAGATGCAGCAAATTGCCAAACTTCTTGATATGAACATCTCTTCCGCCTCGCCCACTCCCGGCCTACCTGTACCGTTGCTCGGGGCACCGGGTTCCATGACGGAGGTGCCGGGTGGCCACCGTCTTCTCAGCCGTTCAGGATCAGGTTCAACGTCAAGTGATTCTAGTCATTTGCCAAGGGGAGACGGAGGTCCGGCTGGTGGCACAGGTGTTACAGGACGCTCGTCTACGCATCGTTCGCGTCTCGCAACGGAATACGCCTTTTACGAGGCGCAGCCGGTCTTCGGGTACGGCAAACTGCATGAGCAACAGCAGCGTTACAACCACCACCAACAAGACTGTTCATTAAGGGGGTTTTTATCTGGAAGACGGCCAAGAACGTTAAGCCCAAATGAATCAATTAATAAAATCACCTAGCTGGATGAAGACGAAAAAGACAATTTTTATTTATTATTCACTTTATCATCTATTTATTATAAAACCACATCATAAAAATAATAGTTTGTTGCTAATGATGATGATCGCACCAGATGAGAGTGTCATATATTTTATGTTATTCCTGTTCCATTCTTTAGCTCTCTATAAAGTCGCGTTTGTTAAATTACCGAAACTGTGTGTGTTTTTAATCGTTTGCTCTATTTGCTTCCTGAAACATATGTCCCTTATGTAAGAGTGTGTATGACTTCTTAATATTTTTAGATCTTTTACTAGTCCCAGTTTTACCAGTTAAAACCTGAATGATGCACATTAAAAGTGTACACGCAAATGTACATCTTAGTAGGTTTTAGCTGCAGCATGAACAATGTCGCTTTAAAGAACTGCTATGTAAAATTAGATTGACTCTTTCACCCAGGAACGTACATTCGATTCCGGCGTAATTGCGTGATAGCTCGACAGTGTCCAATCCATACGCCGACAATTTTGTCGTTATTAACACTACCTTGTTTTTATTTCTTCTGGGCGATGTCTGATTTCTACTCCTTTTTGTTTTCTCTACTCCTTCTTACTTTCTTTTTGACCTCCTTGGTTCTTCTAGGTTCTTACGCCGTCCACAAGTGCACCTACACGCTGTTCTGAACGCTCGTATAACACGACAATTTGAAATGATGAGACATGCTATATACAGAACATCTAGTGTTCGTATAAATTTCGTCCTACTAGGAATACTGTTATGTCTTTTTGTTACAGCAGTGGCAGCCGAATGGGGGAGTCAACGGTTAGACCAAAGATCCCTGGTTCGGCAGTTCCAGCGTTCGTTAGTTCGTCGCGGACCTCGGGCGATCGACGGCGCGTTACAAGTCTACCTGTAGATATCAAAGATTCGAGGTGTGTGCCACGAAAGAAAAAGGCTTCTTGCTTTTGATTCAGTCTTTGTCCATCAACAATTTATTGGTGCAGTATATGATTTGTATTACTGAAATCAACTTAACCTTTCCGTGAACGATTTGCACATTGGGTATCACACGACTGGAGAATTTGGCGCTTTTTCTCTTTTTGGCTTCAGTGGAACTATTGTTCGTCTAAGTTAGTATCTTTTTTCAAGTAGGTGCCATGCGCCTGTTTTGTATAAGCATATATAAAAGATTTCCATTCCTAATGTAATTACAAAAGAAAATTGTAATAAACTGTTTACCAAAGGGTCACTCTTGTTTGGGGATAGCAGTAAATAATGTGTATGTTTTTGATTATTTGCTGGGTTTATTAGAATTTGAAGCTCACGTTCATGACATGCTAAATATATTTACATGTGTTTCAATGTTTTAATTAGCCCACCTTCTTACCCGTATTCCCATACATAAGTATATTCTTCTCTAATGGAAACCCAGATGCCTGTCCAAGGCTCTGAGGACGTTTACGACGAACGAGAGTAGTGCGCATAGAACATGGCATTATATACGTCTAAACATAAAGACTAATATTATTTACCAGATTTGGTTGTATAACATGCTTCCTTGGGGATGTTGCCTCTTAAATTTATATTTATCACATCAGCAGATTACCTCACTATTAAATCTATCATGGGAAGCTTTCCCATACGTAAGTTAAAGTTCAATGTGTATTATATACCTATGTTCGTTATTACGTTGTAATACAGACGCAAGCAACGTTCCATGTCGCGTTCGCGGGAGTCGTCACCGCGCACGTTCCCCGCCGATGAGGAGATTCCCCTTGAGGATTTGTCAGGTCACTCGTCACCCCGGTTCTCGCGCGGAGGTTCTCCACTCTGCTCGCCAACCAGACAGCTACAGCAGCAACTGAATCATCAGAGATCAAGTAGCTTCAGCAATACGAACAGCAGCGGCTGTGGCCCGTACGTTAACGGTGTCCACAGCAATCACTGTGATAATACCAGTAGTTTTAGTCATAGCACTAACTTAGTAAATGGCGCGAATACTGGAACAATCTCCGACAAGTTTATTCAAGAACAACAGCACGGTATGTTAGTCATGAATTCATTGTTGCATAGAATGTACCGAGTAAAAGCACGCTATATAGAATAGAATAAACAACTTGCGCGCGTCATTGGATATAAAGATCGCAAGCGAGGTATTGTCCTGCGGCTTGTAAGATGGGATAGTTACTTCTTTTTTTTTTCAAGTTTCTTGGGGGTACTCACTATTTATTTTAATGGTGTTTTAAGCCCGTTTACGAGAGCTAATGTTGTTTGCTTATTTTCTAAATGAATACGCCACTGAAAAGCACACACTACGTACCAGAACAGTCACGGGCTACTATAAGGTGCGTTCGAAGCGACGCAGCTTTTGAAATTCCGTATAACTCCATGCCGATTTTGAGACAGTATAGTCTAATTGGTTTTTCAATGGCTAATTGTATATCAGGTCCCCCTAGTGGCTATGCTCAGTCACCGTCTGGAGCGCGAAATCTCTGCGAAACCTCCCTCGATCAGCTGATGGGCCCGTCACGTCAGTCAAATCCTACAGCAACCCCTACTAGAGGACAGGTCTACGATATATGAATGAACATCGAACGAAGCCACTGGCACACAAAAAGGTCTGAAGGACGTAAAGGCCAAGACTATTTTTAACCTGAATGTGTGCGGCAACGTACTATGATGTGCAAGCTTGCTGTAGCCGTGCGGAAAGCATCGTTGCATTGGTTTTTTTCGACCGAGTAACAAGTGAGGACTGAAAGATTATGATCTATCTAGTCAAATCGATAGAGTTCAGCTGTTGCTCACCTTTTACATAGAGAACTGAAGACAATGAGAAAAAGTGGGAAATTAGTATTCGATCATTTTGTGAACGAATTGAGAAAAATGACATGCTTGTTCCTTCGCACGTCCTGGAAGACGTGTAAATAACGCTGGATTAGTAAATGATCAGTAATATATATTGGTAAGAAAAACGAGAGCTTTGATAAACAATGACCAAATTGCTTCCTACAAAGCTGCGATGAGATAAATGCTGAATTATAGAAGTTACGAACACCATCGTAGTGGGAAATCGTTTCCCACAATGGTAGCCATCGAAATACAAATAAAAATGTTTGTCATCGCTCGACACAAATCGAATATTTACAGGTAATTATAAACCTGTATGGATACGACATGTTAGGTGCCTATTTACGTTTAGCGAAACGTTGTAACTGTCTTTTGTTAGGGTGCGCCGTGCCGGCCGGAAGGAAGACAGCTGGAGATGATGCTATTAAATGAAGGAAAATCAAAACATATGTCGAAGAAATGTTTTCTACCAAAAAGACAAATTATTGCGATACATTCTGTTGTCTGTTCGACGGGGTCAGCTCAAATACATAACACAACCTGTGCACCTATTTATACTGTTGTAATTATCAACGAGTCCAGAAATAATAATCATTAATCAACAAAAATAATTATTATAGATATGAAAGGGAGGAAATGTTACGCCACATGTGTGATAGGCAATTTACAAGACGTTCTACCAAAGCGACAGAGACTGTCCGAGGTTGGTAAAACAAAGAAGCCCTGTGGTGTCTAAAGTTCCAAGGCTGACGAAGTATAGCCTAAAACTATCTTAGTTAGAAATAAGATTGTTGTATTTAATTATTGAAAAGAAAAGTCTATAGAAATAGAAGACACTAGACTTAAATGGCCGTATGTTAATTACATAGTAGCCTAACATGCTCTGGCTGCAGCTCGAAGAAAATGTGCCGGAGAAGATGCAACTGCGTAATTTTAAGTGAAGTGAGTGATGGAACGTGTCTGTGAATGTTCGACTTAGTGCATAGGTGTAATTAACAAGAAATTATAATGGAATTTAGTCAGGGGAAAGCACTCCATGACACAGCTGGGCGAAACAAACGAGACGGCTAAATAAAGTAAAAAGTTGAAGATTGATAATACGTCATTTCAAGAGTTGTATTTGTTTTAGATGTGCTATTTAGCTAGAAAACAAGCATGCATTACATACACAGGGAATTCTGTTGTTATTATTGACACTTTTTTAATGTGTTTAAAGGCATAACTCACGTGAGGCATTGTATTAACATGTATGGAAACTACGTTTTTAGACATTAGGTCTCGAGCGAGAATCTCAGTTCTTTGGGAGGCCGCAGCCTAACGCAGATGAATATTTGCGGACCAATTTGAAAAACTTGCTTCTACATTAAAAACAGTGATAAGATATCAAGCAAAAAACCATACTTATCAAAGGTAATAATAACTATTGACAACGCAAGAACTACACAATTCTAAGTACTAGAAATAATCTGTTTTATCTGACCTAACAGCCACCGTAAGCCCCAAGGGATAATTTGTCTACGCTGATTGCTGTCATGTACTCAGCACGAACTCTTATAACGTCGTTACATTTTAGTATTACCGGTGTGTCTGTGTTCCTTTTTGCTTACAAATCTGATTACTCTGAAACGTGAGGTAGAGGTTCTAGAAATAGATTAGGGATTGATTGGCAGTTCGTTAGGACGAGCGATTCGTGCCTAGTAAAACTACCCATCTGAAGCAATGCTGAAGGGCAGCACCGAAGTATTTACTAGTAACCCGCTCACGGTAGAACTTTACGGCGTCTTATCGGCTGCACTGGGATCAGTGACGGTAGCTTGGTGTCAACAATGGCGGAAGTGTGTGCAGTTCAAATCGAACTTCCTGCAGTGGATTCTTCGTGTTCATTGTTTCTGCTGTTAGAATAATCACTACATACGTATCGACACGTAGATTAGCTTTTGACATTTCGGCTGATCTAGCGTGCGTTCTTCACTATCACTTCTTTTATCTGCTGTACGCCTGCCGGAACATTAGTAATTACCGAACAGAACAGCAAACACTAGCAAAAGCTATCCGTACGTGAAATGCGAACAATAGCACAGCAGGATGAATTCTCGAAACCACTGCCCTCTAAATGGAGCCAGGAACAATTACGGTTTACATAGATTTGTACTTAGATTTGACGGAGAGCTGTCATTCGAAACAATGGCTAAGACCCAAAATATCAGCTCACTAGAATCTAACGAAGGATTACAATGTTTCCGATAGAAAGGAAGTGCTATTCGCCTGCCAACCACCCAAAGGAAACATAGAAAATAGAGGTACGCGTGGAAGATATATAGATCTTCCACGCGTTTTTTTTTACCTCTATTTCCGGATCTGAAAGGCCGAATTCCATTATGTATGATTATATATATTTTATATGATGAAATATGATTCTAGCTCAACCATCGGCCAGGGCCTAAACGCCAAAAGAAACCATTACTCGTATCACTACGCTACCCCTTATTGGTTTCGTATTATGCAAGGTCTGTATATGGATGGATTCATTGGCAAATCACATAAAATGCTTTTGTTTTTCAGGCATGCCTGAACCCGACACAGTCACTACTTAACTACAAATGCAGTTTATTATATTATTTTAGTTCCATACTATAACGAAGAAAGTGAAGTTAACTTTACTCTGTCCGCTTTTATTCACCACTTGAATAATCCCGCGCAAAATATTAAGAATATGGACCCTCTCCACTGACGCGCCGGCAATCGAGCCTTTACTATTCTCTTCCTACAGGCAAGTACCGCGACTTAGAGGTGGTCATTCAACCAACGGCAGCGATTGTGGCCACACCCGTGACCATTGAATGCCCTATGTCTATTCAGCTTACTGGTTCTGTGAGTGTCTAGTGGAGTCCATTGTTATGTTATTACAGTTCTTTGTGTCGCCCCCCCACAGCAGCTGCATTTGAGCATCTGAACGCCAACCATCCATGAGAAAGTACAGTTGCAGCTGATGTGAGTGGGTGACAAATTCTGTAACACGACGAGCAGCAACTGAGTGATACCGTCGCGTCGTTGATAATATCAAAGCTGAAGATACAGTTGTTTCCTAATACATTATGTTCCGCCGTTCGATTATGCACTGTTGACTCACGTACGTGTTACTGCGTACTATTACTACTAAGTATTATATAAATTACATATATGTGTACGTACGTATTATCACACGCACTGCTATAGGCTTCTGTTACACCGTGGTGTAGATGGGCTGGCCATTGGTATAAGTAGAGCTCAACGCTAATCCTGCAGCGCACACACGCACGAAGAAAGCAATCCTCTGTGCCCTAATCCGATGACATCAGTTGTTATACTAGCCGAACGCACCTGTTGGCAAGGGTTCCTGGGTCAGGTAACATGATTGTTACTAGCCGATAACTAACACGAAATAATTCAGCATTGATGATTAAGGTTCCAAAAACGCGGAATTCAACTATTATTTACATTGGAGCCGCTTTGTTCAGTAGCGACTACTATACGTGTCACACGCGACTACCCGGTGCGCAGAGCTAGTCGGATATGTGCTAATATGTCTGCTTTTACGCGCGACGTCATTTGCTTGCCGTGCTTCTGTTACCTTTTGTAATTAAAGCGTTTAGCAAAGAAGTGATGAAACCGGTAGTGATAAAAGCATGCAGCCGAATTGCTCACTTATCTTAGGCCTCACTTATCTATGCAGTGTCCTATCGTTGAGCTCTGCTGCGCTATGGGAGCTGGTGTCGTTAGGTTGTTTTTATGTGCTATAATTGGTCATTTTTCATCCGTTTTTTTGTTACATCTTTTTCAAAGGAACAACACTTCGGTGGGGGACCATTGCAGCAATGTCAGACAACAATGATGAATGGTACTAATACGATTGCTCATTTCTCTATGTATATATAATCGGGAGACACCTTACGTTGTTGTGTGTGCATAAAGATGCGGTAGAGACAAATAATAATTGATATCGAACTAAATTGTTAACGTTTAAATACCTAGGTTTAAGGATAGTGGAATCGGTTTCACACCTTTCTGCTACTGTATGTTTTTGTTAAGCACGTTCATATTATGCATACGCTGACGCCGAGTGTAGCATAAAAAGCTATCACCTAATCAATTAATTAGTACTTAGTGCTGACGCGGGCCGCGTAGAAAGAGCAATGTTTTGGTTAAGCAGCAATACATATTCTTCTCGAAGTTTTACTAGTGAGTGATTTATGGAAGACACTCACGTAACGTTTCTTAGAAAGGCCAAATGCAAGGTCATGGGCAAGTAAGAATGACTATGCGCCTCGGAAAGCTGCCTTTCTGCCCGCTTTTTGTCCGCGTGGTAAACGCAGTATTTGACTACAGTGCAGTAATGTCGTACCAATTTGACAGCTTCGATTGTGAGATGCGAAAAAGGACGTAGTAGTCAAAAGGGAATTTATTCCATTTATAAACTATCATATTTTTATCTCCGGTAAAGAAAACACAGGACACATTAAATGTGTACCTTCAGATATGAGCGTTTGCTTGGGAGATTGGCTGACATTGCTAAATTGATTTGAATATCCTGGCGCATATTGTCATGCCGTGTCAAACTTGTTCCAATTAGGTGTTGTCATTATTTCACGTTAGCCTTTACAATGTCTTCATTTTTTTGCCCTCCATATCAGGCTTAGAAAGCAACCGAGGCTTCGAATTTGACGCGGTAGTTGGTTGCAGTCGAAGCCATGATTTGCCGCGATGAAGTATCGTAACAAATTATTTCGTTTGGAGCGTAGTGTGATTTCGTCGCTTACATCTTATATACTCTTTTCTGACGATAAATGTTCGGCCTTGGTAGCAAATGAATAAATTCTGCAAATAAATGCTAATTGAATAGATTTTTTTCTAACTAGCATGATAATAGGTATGCTTAATGCAAACTAAGCATCTCTTATCAGTATTCTTATGAAAAGTTCGCTAAAAAATCTTCATTCTCATTCTTCGTAGTGATGATCTTCATAATTATTATCATATACCGAACGCTTCCTTACCGAACGAATGAGGATTGTTGTATTTTCTCATTTTTATCAATCTAGGTATGACGTATTTGCTCTTTGAAACAACTCTTTTTCTTCGAAACAGCTTCCTTTTCGGGGAAAAAATTGTTATCGCATGCTGCTTAGCTGAGCATCGTTAAGGCATAGGCATACTTACTATATGCCTCGTTGTCCTTGGCGCCGATACATACTATAGAGTAACGCAAGGTGTAACAGTATTAGGAAATAAGGCTTTACTAGCAAGCGATTCGGCAAACGAGGTTGTAATTTCAGCCAACACATTTAAAATACTTTGCATTTTAATGTTTACGCAATCGGGGTAGTCGGCCTGTTTCCTATCTGATCTTCCACATTAACCCCATCAAATATAGGTACTACTGTGTCATTGTTGGCAAAACTGCATTTTTTATTGACAAGGTCACCGTCAGTTTAAGTTAAGTCGGTATTGTGTATACACAATTTCGCGTTTTCTTGCCCCATGTGTTGTAGCCGACTGCGTATTTCCAGTCGAAATCCGAATGCGTATTTTTTTGTCACACACAAACACACACGGATCTATCTACCCGAAAATTCAAAATCGAACATACCTGCAGGAAAGACCGCGGCGTACGTATCTGTGCATTGTCTGTTATTTAATCTTATTATTTACGACCACCATGGCTACTTTATTCTATGTTGTGTTACAATAAAATTGCATGCATTACTCACACCCATGCGACATTGCACCGCATAAAAATTTGTAGTTGTTACATTTTGTTCCAAGCACCACAGGCAGATGGGTCGGTTCTCTCACTTCTCTTCACCATTGCTTAATACTACTAAGTATACTTGGCCGTTTAGATGTCGCAAAAGCAAATCGACAGCGCTGAAACGCAAGTCTCGAAAAATTTTTGACGCTTTTGCACCAACGCTACAGTAACGCCGCGGTAATGAACTACTGCCATTCAAGGCACAACGATGAGCTCGTATCTCGTCGATTGTAAATCATTCGGTAAATAATACGGCACATGCCGACGAAAAAAGGGCTGCAAAGAATTAGGCCAGAGAAGGGTGGTCGGTATAGATGTGTGGCATTACGGGTAAGAAGTAATGTTCTGTGCAAAAATACACTGCTCTGACATCTACAATGCAGCTATTTAGGGCACATATAGGTAGAGCTTTATAAGAAAGCTAAGCGTACAAACAAGGTGGCATACGCGGCTAGCCGAGTTAACTAGCAAGTGCTGGGTCACGCTTTCCGTTTATAGCGTGCTCAAATTCTGACGAACAACAAAAATTGTATAAAATCTAACAAACAATAAGTTTGGTAGTAATGGTCGTTTATCTCTCCTAGTAAAGTATTAGTCTGTCCTTAAGATTGGCTTTTATCACCGGTTACAATTTTGGATAATATCGAAAGCTAATCCTAATTTATTTAATATAAATTATTCTAAGTGGATTAAGGACACTAATTGCTAATGTATCTGATGTAAATTGTATATGGCATGAATATTTAGTAATGTACATATAGCAAGAATGTGCGTTCTTAAGAATAAAATTTATAACTGACGCTGTTTTTTTATTCCGTTATGACGGAAGAACGTAGTCGTTGTATGATTTTGTGATAGAGATGTACATAGGGATAGAAACACTATCAGTTAAGGGAAAAGACTGAGACCATCGAGGCGTAGTTCTCTGAGCAATGTGTGCTTGCAATTTCCTCGTTGTGTTATTTTCTTATACGATCATTTCTATTAGTAGAAGGCTTGGTCTCGTTTTATGAATACACGAGTATATTTTTTTTCTGTAAGCTCCAAGATTTTTGTTACTGGAGCGAAGTAAAATTAATTTTTCAAAAAACTGTAGGAGGTTCGCTAGGCAGTTAGGATGACCGCTTTCTATATGTGTCTGTATACCAGCAAATGGACATTATCTAATGTCCTTATTAATAAAAATAAGAAAGTAGATAAGATCCCGAGGTCTCACCCGGTTTCTCCAAAATCTACCAATCACACTAATTCAATCAACTAACTAGTTGACGGTACTAATTTTGGAAAGTAGTTTCGACTATTACAACACAATTTTTGTCATTGCCGATACTGTCATTTTGAATAGAGCTGATAACAATTATGGTGGAAAATACCGCTCGGATATTAACGAATCATACACAAAAATACTGTAAATTTAATGATTCTGCATCTGACGATGATATATTAGTATTATTAACCAGACTATTTCAAATGGTGAAAATCTCGAATCTTCAGCATTCTCCAGATCCTTTATCATCTGACGAACAATTAGGCTACATTTAGGTCTATTCTTCAGGTGTATTAATAGATAGAAAATGTATTTTATCAACCGGTATTATGGAGACTATTGAATTATATAACTTTCATTTATTGGATTTGCTTTCAGACGTGAATGTCGCATTATTGGTCGGAAGCGGCGCCCCGAAGACACGCGGAAAGTCGCCAGCATATCTCGAATGGTTATGACGTAGGGGCGTTAACGTTTTCTTTCTGGGACTCTAGGCGGGCGTATCCACGCATGCTATTTCGGACAGTACTGTCTAAATCGGCTCGCAGGAAACAATGCCCCACAATAGGGGGTCTCAATGGTCACAGGGGTCCATAGATCCCAGTGCTATGGTATGAAGCGGAATTACACCTTACATGCTTGCGTACACACATTTATATATATATATATATATATACATAACTTACTATTCAAAATTCTTGAACATTACGTGATCAGTTACCGAGGTAATGAAAGAGTTTCAGGATGGTGCACTCGATAGCCTAAACACATAATTACACTTGGACTACAAATACGATATGGGCAAGACACTTGAAAATACTGCCTCTCTGAATACCAATATACCTTTCCATTTTTTTTTTCTTTACTGTTTTTTCGCTTATGGCCAATCAAAGGAGGAAGACGGTGAAAACTACGACGACGATTGTGAGGTCTGCTGCGAAAAACGCGTCATCGTGGGCATCTGCGCCATGGCAAAAAAGTCGCAATCGAAGCCAATGCGAGAGATTCTCACTAGGCTTAGCGAGTTTGAGTATATAGAGACGCTTGTGTTTCCCGAGGAGGTGATCCTGAACCAACCAGTTGAAGAATGGCCATTATGCGACTGTCTCATCTCGTTTCACTCGAAAGGTCAGTCGGGTAAGCAGCACGCGCCTCCTACGACGTCCTCCGCCATCAGTCAACCACCAATTGCCAGCAAATCAGCAACTATCCACCATCCGAACGAAAGAAAACAGCAGACGAACAGAAAAATGTACAGGGAGACATTAGTGTGATCACCCAAAGTAAGACCTTTTCAACGTAAGGGAACACGAGCCCCATATGATGATTCCCCTTGCCAAAAAATAGGACGCTTTCGCGTTGCCCCCTATAGTAGCCAGCATTATAGTTTGTTTAGCAACTAGTATTGTCTTTTAGCAGCAGCGAATTGTCGTCGGCATACAGACGACAATAACAACAAATGAACTCATTGATAATAAACATCGTTATTGCTATGCCATTAACATTAAAAACTGTATCCACAGTCCAAGTGCTCGTCGGTGTATTCTATCCTGTAATAGCCTTTTACACCCTTCATGTATATTCGCTTTTTTGTAATTACATTTTGGTAAATTTTTTAAAGTTTTTTCGTTTAAGTTGAGATAATTTCAAGCCACATGTTTCTCTACCTAAATTGACCCAGGAATCATATTTATTCTTTTGGTATATTACGTCCATTCTTGATTTCATAGAATATACAAATATTTACTTGGCATATATAAAAATGGTTTTAAGAGATCGAAGTTTAGAAATCCATCAGAACATATTGTTGCCGAGATACTAGTCTAAACTCTTGTTGACTTTAAGAATTATGAGATCTTTTTTGATCTGAGATTTTTTGCTTCTTACAATTGACACGAGAGCTACACGCCTTTTCTCTGGCCGTCTTCTAAGTGGCATGGGTTTGATTTTGGATCGGAAAAGAATTCGTTTCTTTACTGAATACTGCCTTTTTCTGAAGTCCTGAGTGTTGAAAAAAAAATTAAATATGATCATTTCTTTATTCTAACTACTTTGAAGACTGCATTACTTTTTAGGTATATTTGAACCATATATGTCTATGACTGGCGTATATTGGGAATCTTATATTGGGTATATCTAGTTAGGGTTATGCTCTACTTTTATTAGGTTTTCTGAAACTTTAATGTTTATCATCGTTCATTCATCGTTCGTGGTCGGTTGCAGCTGGGGTTATCAACATTTAATAGCACCTTACTGGGAAGAAATTAAGACAAGCCTAAACATTAAAACTCACTTCTGTAAGCCACAGCATTATACGACACTGTTCTTAACTCGTATTAAAACTCTGTGTATTAATTCCTACACAAAAATGAACAGTTTGACCAACTTGCCAGACTTGTAGAGCACCGACCCTCCCGAGTTGAGATTTACTGTCTACTAACCCTAATGGTTGGCTAATCTGCTTGAGTTTGGTGGCTGTCACATTGGTTGTATGGACCATGCATGAAACCTTTTTCTTTTTCGATAGGTCTGGCATGATTTCTGTTTATCGTATCGAACTTACATACATGCAGATTCTTACTGAATGATTGTCTAAGTCCGCGCTTGCTTTTGAAGTCCACCCATTCTTCCTCCGATGCTTAGTTAATACGTGCATCAACCCTCGAGCCTGCTATGTCGTTGAATGTGCCACATACTTAAACGGATTTAGTGACAAAATATGACCGATAACGACGATTAATCCGTTTCAGTACACAAGCTAATTTTGGATTACTCGTTGAGTGGAGTGCCGTGTATGGTGGTGCCATTCGATTGATTGCTTTTTCTCTCTGCTCCTTACAGGATTTCCGTTATCGAAGGCTATTAAGTACGCTGAACTGCGTAAACCGTTCACGATTAATGATCTCTACTTTCAATACGACATTCAGGATCGCCGAAGAGTCTACAAAATTCTGGAAGATGCCCGCATCGAATTACCTCGATATGCCGTTCTCAATCGAGAACACCAGGGTGGGTAGCTGATGTCTGATTGAATGACAGGGACATGTCGTTAACTTTCGACTAACTTAATTGGTGTTAAATCACATATAAGTAATATCTGCGATTGATACATTACTTTGAGTTTAAGTAAATTTAGTACAGAAGTCCTATTTATACGTATTTTAATTTACTCAAATTTGAAGTAGACAAAACAACCCGTGTCATGTGTAACGTTCAAATATTAATTAAGCATTCCGTGTGCGTATGAAAAATTATTTTCCGCAGACGAGATGCTGGAGTCCGAAGATCACGTTGAGGTAGGGGGTGTCGTATTTAATAAGCCATTCGTCGAAAAACCCGTATCTGCTGAGGACCACAATATTTACATTTATTACCCGACATCAGCCGGTGGCGGATCTCAGCGACTGTTCAGAAAAATTGGTTCCCGTTCGAGTGTCTATTCACCCGAAAGTCGAGTGAGAAAATCGGGTATGTCTGACAATAACTCATCTCGTTTACAGTTTATTGCAGTTTATGCCGCTTATCTATGATATAAACTTGTAGCTTATATATATAGATAGCACTTACAAAAACCACATCTATTTTCGTTGCCGTTGTCATAACAAGTCGGTTACTACCGTAAATTGTTGTGATTATCGTTGAACAACAGTCTTGAGTGGGTCCAATAGACCAGCTAAAGGTGTCCATTGCATGGGAGTGATCACGACAGTGTTACATTTCTTTAGTCCATAAATACGCTTTTGTTTTCCATTCGTTCAATGCGGTCACAGCCATAGGTGGTTTTTCTGTTTCTGCCGTCACATAGCCAGACCTTGTTAACCACAAATATCCTGTTGCCGTCTAATAATTTTCCGACATTAAGAACCCTCCGTTTGCATCATTTTCTCCACGCTTCCTTAATTAATAAGTTCCTAATTGAGCTAATATTTTAGTCCTTCAACTTCCTTTGCTTGTATACCCATTAATTCACAGCCATAACTTCTTATGATCGTGAACTTCAATAGAAACAATTGAAATAAATCCCCGACGTAACAGCTATTTAGAGTTTGCAATTCAAATGTTTAAAAATATGCTTAAATCCGTACTTGGTAGTCTATTCATGTGCCATTAATATGCACCAATAAAAATATTGTTTACTAATTTCCCTTGTTTCCACTTGACCTTATTAATGCCGTCAAGATTCGCACGCATGCATAGCGTTGCGGGCCGTTGTATTAGCTACCTGTATCTAATTGTTTGTTAGTGCAGAGGATTGCTAAACGTTGTGGTCATATACTTTTGTTGCTTATTGCCGGAATATCTAATTGATCGACCGATTTCTATTATTCTTACAAATTCCTCTCACTGATGACTGCCTACCAATAGATTTACCTATGACTACCGGTTGATGCTGGATCTATGTGGGTCGTGTCTGCCTCTCCTCCAGTATTACCTTCTCTTTTTCTGTCTTGTGGTTTGGCATCGACAATTTTTGGTCACTAGGCCATGGCTGCCTTTTTCGTTTGTTTGGACAGCAGACACCCAAATGTCCGCCCAAGGCCCATTCGAAATGCACGCAACGAATCTCTGCTCTGTTTCCTCCTACTCCCTCTGTCGCTGGCTTTTTTTTTTCTAATCTTCATGTGGGTTCTGCGATCTGTCAGTTCACAAGCCATAAGTAGAACGATTGAGACGTGAGACAGACGAACGGCAAGGCGTGAATCCTCGTACGTTTTCGAAGCTATAGTCAGGTCCTGCTGGACGACGCAGGCACGTAAACACACAACAAACGAACTTAAGCGAACCGGTTAAAACGAGGAGGTAGATATTGACATAAACACATTAGCATTAGTAAATCCCATCCGGACCGATTAATACAAACTAGCCTGGTCGTTGTTTTGATGGGAGACGAAGAATCTGCCCGTTGTGGGCTCGAAGCAGACAAAATGAGATACAGTTTGTAGCGATAAACAATAACGGAGATCAGGTGAACTGAGCATTAGTGAAACGGCAAATATTGCCATGCATTGCCAACAGGCCGATACTGTCGGTGAGACTGATGTGAAGGATACGTCCTCTCTTTTTGGTCAGGGCGGATTGCACTTTGATGGTGAAATAACATGCTTTCTGACATTTCTAACGCAGGAAGACAGTTAATAATTTTACGTTTTTTTTTTTTTATAATATATCCATATTAAGATATACCATAATATGAACGAATTTTGTATGTGCTATTTTAATCGTATTAACAGGGTCTTTTATCTATGAGGAGTTCATGCCGACTGATGGAACAGATGTCAAAGTATACACGGTGGGTCCTGACTATGCGCACGCGGAGGCTCGAAAAAGTCCAGCCCTCGATGGAAAGGTCGAACGTGATAAAGAGGGCAAGGAGGTCCGTTATCCTGTAATCTTGACAAACGATGAAAAATTAATCGCTAGAAAGGTATAGTATTCATACCTTATGACAACCGCCACCTAATACGAGTGAGCTATATGAGCAGGAATAAGTTTTTTTCTCATATAATACCTTTATTTCAGGTGTGCCTTGCCTTTAAACAGACAGTTTGTGGATTTGATCTTCTACGAGCCAATGGCAAGTCTTACGTATGTGATGTCAACGGATTTTCATTCGTGAAGAACTCTATGAAATACTATGACGACTGCTCAAAAATTCTGGGTACGTGGTCAATTAATTAGCAAACATATACACGGTAAATTGCTTGTGGAAATGTTGCTGTTGTCATCACCCGACGTCTTCTATCACATATTTGATTTTTTGCGATAATGGCGACCTCTAATTTACTGTCATGCCTCAGGTAACATGATATTGCGGGAATTGGCTCCGCAACTACACATCCCATGGTCCATGCCGTTTCAGCTGGACGACCCTCCAATCGTGCCGACGACATTTGGCAAAATGATGGAGTTGCGATGCGTTATTGGTGTTATCCGACATGGAGATCGAACACCAAAGCAGAAGATGAAAATGGAAGTGAAGAACCACAAATTTTTTCAATTGTTCGAAAAGCATGGAGGCTACAAGGATGGTCATATCAAACTGAAGAAACCGAAACAGCTGCAAGAGATATTAGATATAGCGCGAGAGTTGTTAGCACATAAGGTGCGTAATCATAGTCTTAACACTGAGAACATCAAAAGATTAAACATTGTTGTAAGACACGACTATTTTCATTTTAACCTATTTTCCCAAATGTGTTTGCTACTTCAACACTGCAGCATTACATGGCGCTCTCATCATTATTATTTCATTATCATTATTGTAGCTCTTGCTAATGTAGCCATCTTTTCGGTGTTTGCATTCACAAAACAGGATAACGATAGCGAAGTCGAGGAAAACCGCTCGAAGTTGGAGCAATTGAAGTCAGTATTGGAAATGTACGGGCACTTCTCTGGCATCAATCGCAAGGTCCAGCTGAAATACCAGCCCAAAGGCCGACCTAGAAATTCTAGTTCAGATGACAGCGAAACCCCACGCCAGCCTTCATTGGTACTCATTCTTAAATGGGGCGGTGAGTTAACGCCGGCAGGTCGGGTTCAAGCGGAAGAACTTGGCCGAGTTTTTCGGTGCATGTACCCTGGCGGAGGGGGCGATTATTCGGGTAGTCAAGGCCTCGGCCTGTTGAGATTACACTCAACTTTCCGGCACGACCTCAAAATTTATGCGTCTGATGAAGGGCGTGTATCAATGACAGCAGCGGCCTTTGCCAAAGGCCTTCTTGCTCTAGAAGGTGAGCTCACACCCATTCTCGTTCAGATGGTGAAAAGTGCAAACACAAACGGGCTTCTAGATAACGACTGCGACGCAGGGAAGTTTCAGGTAGGCTGCCACTTCCGCTGTGGAACGGTTTTTACTATAGCAATGTTCTATCCTTGTTTGTCCATAAAAAAACGAGAACACGTCAAGTACTTGAACTACATATTAACGGTAGTGCGTTGGCCCAAACAGAATATGGTGAAGCAGCGTCTGCATGACACGATGCAGGTGGACCGGGAATTTACAGAAGAAGACGTCGAGCGGTTAAATCCTACGAATGCTGCTAGTATCGAACAGGCGATGCGGTTCATCAAAAACCCCCTCCGGGCATGTGAACACGTGTTCGAACTCATTCAGGAATTGACGAATGTGATTAAAAAGAAAAAGGATGACGATAAAGGTAGGTGCGGGTGATATTGATATGAAGTTATCGAAATCTATTCCTTCAGTCATTGTTTGTGAGAGTGTGAGGTCCTTTAAGCTATTTTAACTGTTTGTAATCAGTTAAATTACGTACATTACATGCTTAATAAACGTAAATAACACTGGCATGGGTGTTCACTTCAGCTTAAATTTTAACACAGCTATGAAACCTAATAATACAGGCACGTTATACCACGGAGAGTCATGGGACCTAATGCAACGACGATGGGCAAAGCTTGAGAAAGACTTCAAGATTAAACCCGACAAATTTGACATCTCAAAAATTCCTGATGTTTACGACTGTATCAAGTATGATCTTCAACACAATCAGCATACGTTGCAATTTCAACACGCCGAAGAGCTCTATATGTACGCCAAAGCTCTAGCCGGTAGGTTTATTTAACGTGAAGCAGTCAATCTAAGCTGATGAGTACGGGGTATGGTTAAGCGTCCGTCAATAAAATGTTATAGTATCAAGCGCTCTATCGGAACCGTGAATTCAAACGATATCTGTGTACGGCGAACGTTAGCAAAGGGAAAACGCAGACATTTCTTTTGTTTTTTAGACATTGTTATTCCACAGGAATACGGCATAAGTCGGCAAGAAAAACTAGCTATTGGCTTAGGAGTATGCGCACCGTTACTCAAGAAAATCCGCGCTGATCTACATCGAAACACGGATTTGGGAGGTGAGGGCGGCGAAGGAAGTGAGGGCAATCCCACCCAGGCTGAGAGTGAAAACCGACTAAACCCACAGTATTCGCATGGGGTATCCTCACCCGGACGACACGTCCGCACCCGGTAAATCTAGCGCGTTAGACCGTTGTATGGTCACAGCTGTGTCAGTGCGGTTCTAAGGGATAATTTCGATAGTCTGCAAGTTAATTTCAAGATTAGATGTTTTGTTAAATCAACATAAAATTTTGTGATGCCAATGAAGCGCCGTCAGTGGCTTTACTAAGACGTACTTTCCTCTGTGCTTAATGTCAACTCAAGTGTTCACATTATTAACTGATCCATCTCTTTGCCATGCATTTGTACTAGGTTGTATTTTACTTCAGAGTCACACATTCATAGTTTATTGACGGTTCTTCGGTATGGCGGCCTGGTGGACAGTGGGCGGGACGAACAATGGCGCCGCGCACTCTCGTACGTCTCTGAGGTGTCGGAGTTGAATTATATGACCCAGATAGTCATTATGTTGTACGAAGACGAGACTAAAGATGTGTTGTCGGAGGAACGTTTTCACGTCGAGCTGCATTTCTCGCCAGGTGAGTTTGGTCATTGGCGTTTAGTTGCTCTTTTTTAACAGACATTATGCTACCAATTTATTTCTACCTAGTTAGACGAAATCTATTAGATTTCGTTTTCTTTTCGATGACACGCAATGCATTGTAGGTGCAATGTGTTGTGTACAAAAAAATCCACCGCCGGGACCCGGCTTCCGCCCTCAAAGTCAGTCCGAGCGATCATCGTCTCCGATCAACGGCGATTCTTCGCCTTCACCTGAAGGGTCACAGATCAACTTGGCGGCTTCGGGAAGTTCCGGAGTAAATGGCTCTAGCGGACAGTCTGACATTCCAGGCAAGCATGATTCCAACGCTACCCTTACTGCAGCTACACCTCAAAGGTATGAAAGGGTCCATGATTTCAAAATATTATTTGTAAAACTGTTTCAAGTAGATTCAATAGGTATAGCTAACATCCACGTTAACAGATAGAATTGCATAAATAGTGCCGTATTGTACTAGGATGTAGCTGCTGCAACGCAGGATTGTAGCAACCTTTAAGCGCTAAGAGCTCGCGTTATCTACAGTTCGGCGTCCATTTTCACTTACTTCGTAAATGAATTCTTTATTCTATGTGTCTGCAAATTTGCTGGTATTATGATTCAGATAAAACCATATCTCATCAATTTAGGAACTTTTTTATGGCTTGGTGAGTCATTAGCCTTATCTGTTTCATGCTTCTGATTCCCTCTGACTGATAGTCAGTGTCTCTTATGCTCTCAGCGGCGGGGCCGCCGGGAATCTTAATCTTTTCAACACTTCTCCTTTCTCGCCCAATCTAGACCACTGTAGTAATTCCAACTTTGGTCCCTTCAACCCTCGTCACCCGCGTACCTACTGTAGATCTCCTCGGCCCTATACTTCCTGTTTATTATCTACTCCTCCCCTAACTGGTCCTCATCCCACATCGCACTAACCCCGCTGATTATGTTAACCGCTAATTATCCCGCTTTGAGCGGTGATTCTTCGTCTCCGGATCAGCACAGCAGGTCGTCGCAAGATCTCCAAAAAACCGATCTCAGCCAAGTTGCTCTTCCCATTTCTCCTGGTAGCACCCCTAAACGCCTACCTTTCACAATGCCTCGTGCTGCTCGTGCCGGTGCAATTAGCACAGCATCAGCGGCTAGCATATGCACATCTACTACTTCTGCCATAGTCTGCACAAGTTGTCAAAACAATTCTCCTCCAAGCGCGGCCTGCACCTCGCCTTCGTCTGCCGCATTCCCACCCACCTCCCGTCCACCTTCTGGTATCCAGGTGCTTCACTCGCCCCTGGCTAACGCCGTTGGTAGCTCCCCGACTAGCCGTCCGTTATTGACTAACATAGTTCCGCCCGTTGACTCTTCCGTGCATTACTCCGGCTTGTCGGCATGTTCCGCCGATGGCACCGCTACCACCTTAATCATCACCAAAACTGCTACAACGATTGCCGTCAACCCAACGACCCATATGGCCAACGGTCGCCGGATGCGTCGTTGTCGTCGGATCTCGTGCGGCACTTCTCGGGATCCGCTCTACACCATACGACCCTCACCTTCGTCTGCACCGATCGCATTATCTGCAACATCTTTACCGACCACGATACCATCATCTTTTTTGAACGTAACGTCGCGTCGGAAAACAATTCGCAATGCGACATCAACGTCGCTATATTCACATGCCACGCTTGGTCGTTACTGTTGTAGATGTCTGTCGCCTCCATCACCCGAGAGCCAGCTAACCGAAACAGAGGATGATGACGAAATGCCCGGGGGCTACAACCCATACCACACGGTGAGTGGGTACCCGATGGGCGTGTCACCATTTGGCCCCCTGGTCCTTAGCGGCCTAGAGTCGGAGTCGACAGGATCAAACGGCCCTCCGCAACAGCACTACAGCTCGCCCTCGGCTTTTCTTAGCGCGTTTCGACGGACCAATACCATTAACAATGCAAATATTGGTAACAACGGCAACGCTAGCAATTCAGCTGGCACACGGCCACGTCCCTTGTTCAACGTCAAGCCGGTATACTCAGCTGCCGGTAAGCTTTTTAGCACAGCTGTTATCTCGGGTTCGAGTTCGGCACCCGACCTTCGGGCGGCTCTACTTCCGGGCACAGCAGAGGGACCACTTCGAGTACCTTCGATTCGCCCGCTTGAAACACTACACAACGCACTCAGCCTTTACCAGCTTGACGTCTTTCTGTCGAAGGTATAGTTTTCCATTTGCTTTTGTTGTTTAATTTAGATAAAATTGTTCCGTCGACTCAGTTGTGATTCTTTAGGCTATGTTCTTCCACAGCTATTTGTTTTTCGTTCAAGCGGGAATAAAACGTTCAGTTAAACTGTAGAAAAGTCGCTCACTCGTAACTAAGATTGTGCACTATGGAGCTATATACACAGACAGCCAATAACCGATTACTAAAGCAGATTAGCAGATACGGAGCCGTATAGTAATTGCATCTTGACACACGAAACGTGGTTCAGGACATATCATTCAAGGTAGCGTTAATCGTACTTATCGCGGATTGTGCCATTGTGGCATATCGTTATGACAGTTGCAGGAGCCTATTTAGAATCGTAGATAGTTCACAAATTCCTTCTACAGAGGACATCTCGGGTAGTGGTCTCGACTTGACTTGTCGAGCGGATCTGTCACGAGTTTGCCGTTCTCTGTAGGTGACTTCAAGCACATATCGAACTATCCTGATGTCATCGCAGGCTGCCGTTAGCTCGTCAGGCGGGAGCGGCTCAGGTGTAAAAGGCAGCGGTACCGCAGTAGGTGTAGGCGGTAGCTCCGGTAACAGTACATTGCCACCTGTGTCCCCCTCAACATCGTGGCCAGCCTGGCCTCTCGGTTCAGGTCCACCTTCATTTGTCTCCTCTTCCGGACCCTCAACCCCGACATCATCCATGCTCGACATCTGGATGCGTCTAAAACAGATCACCGATTCAACCCAGCCAACTCCAAGTAGTACAGGTACGAACAAATGTAGCAGAAATTAGATCGGTATCTCTTTCCTGGCTCGGAAAGACCGGGCGGATCGACAACAACCGGCAGAGTTCGTTTCGTTTTGTGCACTAGGTTAACTCTCAAGTTGATCAGCTGATACATGTGCTTTAATCTATTTGTAGAGCTTGAAACTAAAAATTGCTTTTTCTTCCAGACAAAGCCATTCAAAGTCGGCCTCTATCTAGCATTAACCGTTTCCAGCAACGTTAGTTTAAGTCTAATCGCATTTCAGCTGTCGTTTTGTCGGCCCATGCCGACATTAGCTCACGTTTAATTATTATGTAATCTAATCTAGGTTTAATCAGTAGGTAAAACCCTTACCGGAAATCCGGCAAAATGCGGCTACTCTTTGGCGGACGTCAAAAAAACGTTGTTCTTTGCGTTTTTCCGATCAACACATTGATTTTAGGTATAGGACGATATCTTACATGGCATAGGAATATATTACATTTCAGCTCAGCTTGTCGAGAGCTATTAGTTGGTGTCAAGGAAGTGGTATCTCACATTAAACTGATTTCGACTGTGCAGCTTCCCCGTAAGTTTTTCAAGAAAAAATCCAAACTTTTTTCACAAACACGTAGCCCATATCACGTCATCAATGACTTTTTCATATACGCATATAACAATTGTTTAAAACACACATCTAGAAAAAACACAACTGACGAGCAAAAAAGGTTAAAATCAAAGACGAACCCCACCGTCGGAACGACGGACATTGCCAGCGATAATACATGGTAGAGTATAGACTGGGCCCCAGCTGGACTTTGTGGTCAAATATGAAATATAAATGTGCACAGTTTTATGTAGAGGTTACAGAGTTCAAAGGGGTGTAAATTTTAGAATTTTTGGTAGGTTGATTAACAGAAAAAAAGCTTCGATATTCACTTTGAACATAAGGAAACGGTAGGTCAATTGAGTACTGTGATAACTGAGCAATAAGTCTACTTGATTAAAATAAAAACCAAGCCCTGGCGTCCATCGGGCTTCGATAATATAAGCAGTTCAATCGACTGCTGTCTTCCATTTTTCTCGTACACCTTCAATAGAACGGATGGAGATTTCTCATAATTTTTGTTACAATTATAGGTGGTGCTAGCAGCGTAGTAACGGGTCCTGATTCACTTCCATCGAGTAGAAATTCTTATTCAACACCTCCATCGCCGCATGAAAACCGACATAAAGGAACCACAACACCTGCGGCGCATTCGACCTCTTCAGTGCCCTCAGGACCTTTTGGAAGTGGCCCTGTTATTAGCGATACTCACAGTGAGACTGAAGAGTTCCCGGCAGAAAGTGGACCGTAGCCATGAAAGAGTAGCGACAGTAGTTGATGCAAAGGGCTAACGTCAATTCGCTGCAATAAAGAAACGAGCTTAACTTTATCTAACGGCACGTATAGGCACATATTATATTAACGACAAAGCTAACCATAGTAAATCAACATGCCTTTGTGCCTGGACAGAAATTTTTCAAAATAACGTCGAAACCGTACGGATATTATCACATCAATACACCCAACTAATGTGGTTGCAATAGTAGATCAACTAGTTATGTAAGTAAACTAGCAGAGTGTCGCAGTTCGTTTGTAACACAATATGTTAGTTGTAGGTGATGAAGTTTTACGCGAACTATTCAAAAAGAAATTGAAACTTGCTATGGGTCGGAGAAAGGAAATTCATAGCTCCTATGCATGGATTGTAAATATGCTTATTTTTTAGATAGGCAACAACTCTCTGCTCATTCCTCGTGCATGATAACATGTCGGAGCCGGATGACAAACTTACCAGGCAATGATCTCTGTCCAAACAAGATTTTCATAACTCTGTAAGATATAGCATCCCATGAGACAAATAGACATTAGATCTTTGTTGTGAACGTGGAATTTTTTACTTTTTCAGCTATTTTTTAAATTACGTTTCAAGATCCAATTGTACCGCAAATATTATATCAATTATAAGTATTAATATAGATAGTGTAGTTAGGAGAGCTAAAAATTCCGATATTGAGCGCGCGGGATCCTTCTAATTAATTCATTTAAATGTTATCTAATTTACGGAACAAAAAACATCTCTATTCTATCGTGGGACCATCCAAAGAATACAGCAAAAAGAACTATGACGCTATGAGAACAATGCGTTTTAGTTGATCCTAGAACAATTGTTAAATTTTAGTTCTACTGATTTCATATTTTTTGGACGGAACATTAACGGTTCGCTTTAGTTTATTTATTTTACAAGGTACATGTTGATGCTTTTGCGAAAAAGTGTGAGCGTTGTAAGGTCGAGGCTTAAAGTAAACAGCCCGTATGTAAATCTAGTGTATATAGTAGTGATAAAAAAATAATTTAGATTATGAAATTATAGCGTATTTTTATTCCAACATCGAAGCTTGTAATATATATGTTCTTTTCCCGTTCTTTAAACCTCGGCATAACGCATTATGCTACAGCCTTCCCAAGGCTTACTAATAATTATATTATATATAAATATATTATATATATATCACAATATGTACACGACCAACCTAACAGAATTGGGTTGGCGTATTCAACATAAATAAAGAAGGGGTAGACATTTGCCCACTATTTTTTGTCATCGCCATTTTCTTGCCTGCAACGATAGTGTACGTTTATTGAAAATGCATGAATCCAAAAATTACTACATAAAGCAGATTTTGTACGTTAGATCTTAGCTTAGGATCTATGCTCTTTGTGCGAAAAGCGAAAAAAAAAATCGTCCTTCTATGTTTGAAAGCTTTTCGCATAGAGGGCGGAGATAGTATTAGTTCATTTACGGTAACACATGGTAAATCATCTTCAGGCCGCCATCGTTGACTTAAAATCTGTGACTCGCTTTGTATATCTCACACGAATACTTGAGGAGGTAATAAGGATAACTTCTAATTCATCTGATAGTTCTCAGTGTCGAATATAATTTCCTTTTTTACATTTATTCCAGCCGGGCGTGGTAACTGCTCCTAATGAGGTTCTGCTACTAAGTAACGACAAAATGTCTATCTAGCAGGTACACAATAATTAAAGAAACATGTAGAACACCGCCTAAAAAAAACTTCACTGGTTAGGTATACCAAATCCAAATAAATAAATAGGCTTATTGTATCGATTTTAATATGTTCAAAACACAGGGACTTGGTGTTATTCAACCACAAAGGTGATGTAACGCAGTTTCACCCAAAATGTTCCCTGAATTATAGATGAATAACAAAATGCTCTTTAAATCAAAGATATGCTTTATATATATATTGACGAAGCTCAGTTTGAACTCTGCAGCTTTCCGTTATTCTCCTCATACAACAATAAAAACGTAAATCAGACTTCGTTACAATAACATGAACTTTTAGCAGCAAATTGTGCCTAACCGTTCACAACCTTCGATTTTATTGACTTTGGAGTACAACTACTAAGCTGAATTTAGTTTCCTAGAGAATCTAAACGTTGCTGATTAGAAAGAGCATTTTTTTTAGTGCATAAAGACCACGATTCGCACACATTCGCTCAAAGCCACGTTTATTAATCAAGCTCTCCATAGTTATAACTTGAACTAGGAAAAAATAGGACAACATATGCTTTGTTATTTTCCGCTGACATAGCTTGATTCCTTCATTCAATGCAGAATACAAAATGTAAACTAAACTATTTACTACTATTTGCGAATTCAGTTCTAAGTGGAGCTTTACGCGGTTCCGTCTATCTCAGCTGTCTGCTTCGGTCTCCGAAACTTCGCAGTGCATCACAGTCCACGTGTTAGTTGTCCCATTCGTAGCGGCACATGTGAGAGAGGGTGGCTCGAAACAAAAACAAACACTAAACTGTGCTCTCCTCGTGCTTCTTTCAAAGGAACGCCACTGGCTTTTTGTTCGATGTTTGTGCTAAATATATTTCCTCAAAATAACTGTTAATCCCGTTATAGTGTTAGTCGTTTTTAACTGGTTGACAATATATAGAACGGTGCTGTGAAAATACAGAACTGCGCCTGTGAGTGTCATGAAGATCCAGGACAAAGAACTCACTTCCCCGGAAGACGTTGTATGCACTGGACGATGTGGCGTGGCTCTCTGTGACCGACGCGGTCTTATTTCGCACGATGCAAAGTATGTATCAGCCTCCACCAAAGGCGAACACTGCCTAATATATTAGTCTAGCTAACGTTTGCGAAATCACTAGAAGAAGAACACTTAGTATGATAGAAATTAACTAATTATTATTTAAAAACTTAATTTTACAGAACTTATCGCTTATAGAAGTTAGCGGTTTCTACTGCCACAAGGTATAAAGTAGCTGATCAGATGAAAGATCGTATTAGAGGTAACAATGACTAAAACGACACAAGCCGCCATTTGCTGAGACAGATTAGTAAATAATTGTTTTATTCGCGCGTTACTAGAATTAAGAAATTATCGAAATACCGAAGTTGTAATACTACGTTGATATGAAGAAATCTGAACTGCTAACAGTGCTGGCAAAAAAAGGCCAGTTTACCCCCCTCATTTCTGTTCTATATTTATTGTCTATTTCTCTAAATGTGGGCTTTTTCCAGTCATCCATTAAATGCAGATAATTTGCTTGTCATTTCGTGCCAATTACGGTGCCTTTAACATCAGAGTCGAATGGTAATACCATTCTACAAACAAATGGAGTATGAAACTTTTCATTCGATGAAGCTACGTGGTAAAGGTACAAACCTAGTTGCCATGTTTATCTAACACTCTATAACACAACTGTTTATTAAAGGAGAGCAGTTCTTACGGTCTTAAGTTCAGTTAACTCTCGAAAATTCCTATGCTAAGATTTGTTTATGCCGCTACAGTCGACAATAATATCAAACAGAACAGAAGCGGAGAGCAATATGATCACTGCTATACTTTTTGTACTGTTACTATATTACGCAAAGTGGATGCATAATAAAGGTTAATAAAATTATGCGAAATACGGTCACTCTTCGGATTTTTTTGCAGTACTCTTTACGTGCCATCAGGTTCGTGCATTCGGGTCTTCTCGTTAGGGTCAGGTGAGCCCATACGGACTCTAGATTTTCACGAAGCATTTGTTATCGCTCTTTGTCCAAGCCCACTAAATCGAGTGCACGTCTTATCGTGTTCTGTTGATGGCGTCGTCGCTCGTTGGGATTCGACGGATTACGCGCTCATCTCGAAGGATCGAATCGTTGAAGACAACCGCAAAGTCCAGGTACGTGTGTACACTTGTCATCCAAGTTGGTCTCAGTAATAAGAGTACCTTCTATTAAAAGCCAGTCAAGTTTACGGCTGAAGAGATTCTTATCCTGTCTAACAGGAATACCTAAAGCTGTAATGTTCAATTTAAAAACTAATCACTAATATTTCTTTTGTATCAAATAATTCAACTGAGGTATTTTGTAGGTTGTATAGGACAGTAATATTTATCAATTCATACATCTAATCCTTTATTTTCTTCCATTGGTCATTTCGGTAAACAATTTTTTCTCCATTCGTGTCATAGGTATTCCTGGCAAATCAGGAGAGCCCATGGTGTGTTTACGTCACCCACGAAAAGATAGACAATCGTCCAAAAAATGCCTTGTGGTTACGCAGCTTGACATTAGAGGAACCCCTCCGCCAGCTTTCATCAACCTGCTCATCGAATATAAATCTCTTTGGTATTGCTGCCAGTTCCGATCTAGTCACCTGGATCGACAATGACCATCAGGTAGCGAAAACCTAGGTGATGTGTTTAACGCCAACTGCGTGTTTTACGTTAGCGGTAATGATAATTAGCATTTATAGATAGTTCTATTCTTCTTTGTCAGTTCAATACTTAAGGACATGCTTTTATCGATTTGATATTCTTATCTTCTGCACTTAATGTTTCGTTTTGTCAGCTGCGTGTTGTACGTTGTTCGTCACCGGCGACAATTGTGCTCATTCGGCGCGGACGTGGTCGACCTGTATGCGTTGCTGTTCACCCCACAGATGAGTTAGTGGCTGTGGGGGATCAGGATGGAGCAATCTTTATACATGCTGGTCCTTTTTTCCAGCCTAGTGCTCCAAGTAAGTCACCTACAAATATGTTCTATTGAAACAATTTTGCAGTTAGCAGCAAGTGCCTAAGAATTTTCTAACCATTATATTGCAACCAGCTAACTGCTCTGATGAGATGACTAGGACACGTAAGATGGTAAGCAGATTGCTTCTTCTAGGTTTTGCATTAATGATCTAATTAGCTGCAGATAACAATTGCCCAATCGCTTGAATAATCTTATCTTCCTCATTTTTTTCAGACAAAGATCGCAAGAAACAGCTTGGTGGAGCTCCTGCTATGAAGTTGCACTGGCACTCGATGCCCGTGGCAGATATACACATGAGCGGCAATTTTCTATATTCGGTCGGAGCAGAAGGTGTCCTAGTTCGCTGGGATTTGGAAAGCGATGAGCGGCAATTCTTGCCTCGTCTCGGGATGCCGATAAGGCAGTTAGCAGTTGCTCAGAACGAGAAATATGTTGTGTGTGGGCATTCCGACAACAGTAAGCAGTTTGACAATTCCATTACGAGTAAATATAGTGTACTCACATTTATGAATATCAAGTATTCTCAAATCACTATTTCCGTTATCACTATTACAAAATCCTCTTTTTGTTCCTGGGGACGCTTTTAACCTGTAAAATCGAAAATCTGTCCTAATAAAGGACATTTTAGGGCTGGTACAATTTATATAAAATTAATGTCGAAGAAAATAATTGACACTATGGGCATTGATCTAAATCTTTCATTATTTGTAATTATCTTCTTAGCTATTACTGTTATACAAGCCCCAAATACAGTTCATCGAGTTATTCAGGGTCTGGTGCAACGGAATTTTACGGGCGGTGGTAACGTGGCAGGTATAGATCCATTCGACTCCTTAATGATTTTTGAGGCTTGCAAAAGGCAACTTGTTCTCTCTGGAAGACCTGGACAATTGCAATTCTATAGTTTGGAGCACAACCGACAAGCTTGTGTGGTAAGTTCGAAACATTTAAAGTCGTTTTTACATATTTAGTAGTCAGATCTGAGCGATTCAATTGATTTGTACCGCTATTCTTTGTTGGATAGGTATTCGTCACTTATATTATAAATACCACCATTTACGTGTCGCAAATCATATACTTATGATTTGATTATTTATATCGGTTCCATTTAGTTGGACGTGACGGGTGAGAACTTAGCAACAGATTTTAAACTACAATATGAATTGAAAAAAGGCATCAATTCTGAAGTACTGCTCGCAGATTTCGCACCTGATGGTCGTTACCTAGCTACCATCGAATACAAGGTAAACTTTTTTGCAACTGCTAAAACAGTTTTCAGATTTATACGAAATCGTAAATAATGGCGAACTGTTTTTCAGGAATACACAAACCGGAAATGTTTGTTAAACATAGTTGATCTTAGAATATGGCGAGCATCTCATGCTATGCTTTTGTCTAATTTGTTGCGCATATATATTTAGCAAATATGTAGAATAAATTAAGAAAGGAGCTACTTAGGTAATAAGCAGTGTGGCTTGCAGTTACGATTAAATTCAATAAAACCATACACGACAATTGGAATTATCTGACTTTTAAACCTTCCACCTAATTTCTGGTATTATCCTAGACGGCACTGTCAACGACATGTAAATTGAAATTTTGGCATTGGAATAATGAGCGAGGCGAATTAGAAGCGAATACGACCGTGTTAATGCCACATTTACGCCAACGGCCACGATCATTACGCATGGGACTACGAGAAGGTTGCTATTTTTGCGTGAGTTCCGGAGAGCGTTCCTTTAAATTATGGACGATTGTTCGCGGAGGTAGGTTTGTGTACTTCCTATACGGTCAGTAGGTTGCGTTGCTTTACTGTGTATCTTCGTTTTATATATTCAGTATAACATGAATATTAGCAGCACATTATTATGGAGCTCCAAAGGGCAATTCTTGCATGTGAAGGCTAAGATCGTTATGTTTGTTTTTTTAAGAGGAAGTCGAACAACACGATTTGCCCAGGTGGTAAATATTTTTTAATCATTCTAGATTCCGAGGATCAGCTGTTCTGGCAGTGCGTAGATGAACGATCATACCGACAAATGGCGTGTCGTGCCTTAGCAATTTCAGAGGATCATTCGATTCTGGCCGCTTCTTTCGGACACATGGTAACCCTGTGGCACATTAATCTGGCTACAGGAAGAGGTCAGAAGCCGGACAGTCTTGATAATGAAGGTGACCTTTGTTTAATTGGTGAACTCTGTCTGAGAGGAAACATGCAAGAAATCAACAAACTAGAATTTGGTTAGTAAAGTTTACCAAAAAATAAAATGATTCTTTGTGTGTGTTCTCTAGGAAGCTCTAGGAAAATTGTTTGCGGAAAAAATTTACAAAGCGTGTCCTTCGAGTCATCAAACTTTCCCATATACAAGATTTCAGGTGAACACATAGCTCGATAGGATAAAATAGATGTCGTTTTTTGTATTATTTTTTCTTTGCAATTTTTGTATTCAAGGACGAGGTGACTGCAACACTATTCTGCTCAGTGTATCTGGGCGTTCGGTAACTGCGTGGGATCTGCTTAGCTTAGATCGTCTGTGGAGCGCCCAAGTTGCCGTAAAACAAATATTACCAGACCCGAATTCCTCGCACATGGCTGCCTTAATCACCAAGACTTCACGAATACCAAGCTTGCTTGTTGTATTTCGACCTGATAAGATAATTGAAGCACCGATTGCCCAAGTCCCTTTGGAACAGGTAAGGAACGTTTTTTAGTCTTACTTAGCAATGATTCTGTACGAGTATTTTTGCACATGTAATTCTGTCTTTATCTTATAAGAACATAATTTTCATAAGTATCTGTTCAATTTAGAGTGAAGTATCTCTTCTCATTACATAAAAGAAATATCATATCTCTAGGCCTTCCATGTTTTTTGTACGCTAAGCATTGTATTCTAATTCGCCGTTTGAATTTCAGGATGACCAGATCCGATGCGCAGTATGGGTACCACTGTCTCATGAGAAGGGTAATGTCCAGAAGGGCCGCATGGGCTGCCCGCAAGATGTAAGCTGGCAGACAAAGAGCACTTTGTTAGCCATGGGGCGGAGGGATAAATTATTTCACTTTGTTCGAAAAGAAAATGTCAGGCAAAATTCAGGTGACAACAGTAATCTTGCCTTACCTCAGGTGAGTGGTCTACTTCTTTGCTGGTTTGGACAACCTATAAATCTCTTCTGTTTTGGAATGCAGAAAATTTCTTTCTCTCATCTATTTTATTTTCTACGTTTGGAAGCGCATGTATACACTTGTAACCCTATACTTACACTTACCAATTTGCAATACAAAATACTAAGTAAATTTACTTAGTGCTTTATGTTTTGCTGCAGAGCGTGGACACTTTATTGACACCCTTCGGAGCACACCTGTCGTCATCACTTGCTTTAAAAGGGACTCGAGAAGGCCAAACTTTTAGTGGACCAGGTACTTATCAAATAGTTTTTCACCTCCGTCTTTAATTAACTACGCTTACAATGAACCAATTAGTTTATCGGGCGGCAAAAAATCCGTTGAAAGATAACTGTTTTATTTTTTTTTATATCCTTTGTTGCAGCCGTTAAAAGAGATAGCATAGATCTAGGGAGAGCATCTCAGCACGCCGTTGATCATCTACTGCAGATTCCTACACACGTTATGCCTTCTGCTAGCGTGTTGGCCGAATCGTTTATAAAAGCCATTTGGCTTGATGAGGACGATCATCTTGAACGCCGATCAAAAAATAATTTGTTCTCTAATAGGTACGCTAATAAAGCTATTTTAAAGGGGTGTTGTTTATGCCCCACCGAGGATCTTATTAGTTTTCTGTAGACGTTACTTGTAAAAAAAAAACTGTACAGGACTATACTAGGGAACAACAATAGCTGTTAGTATAAGATTCCCACTTTTTAACTATCATTGCTATTAACCGATGCATTCGAACTTACAAGCTCGAGATAGTCGATGAACTTTTCGACTAAGTATTGTTAACAAGCTGCTAATGCGGATCCTTGAATGTTATTCGATTCTAGAATGGACAACACGGACAACATAGTGAATTCGGACGACGATTCCGACTCAAGCGGAGCGGGAAAAAGTAAAAAAACTCGAATTGCTAATACCCATAGCGCTGCTGAAAGTGATTTGGGGGTATCGGAAATGCACAAATGTGAACTACGAGCTGAGAAGATTCGCCTGCCTAAAATTAAAGATTATAGATGGATTCAATGGCTCATTCGCCTGAAACCCGGTGATGAAAGCAACTCTGTTAAAAATGGATTACAGAATTAGATCGAGGCCGGTCATGTACATAATATAGTCATATCGAAAATGAGAAATCCAGTTTGAATATTAGTAGCAGCACATTGAGGTGATTGTACCAAATGTGGATCATAGCAAAATCGTACTACAAATTACACGAGCTCATGCGATGTTGTTATATAGACAACAGATGTATATTATTTAGCAATTTGGATACGGTAAGCGATACTATTTGTAACTAATGTGTATGAGAGCAGCGTGTGTTGTTGGGGTTCACGAAGAGAAGCAATCGATGCAATTTTTTGTTTTTTAATGATATCTTTTTTGTTCGTACCTTGTTGTTTTTTCGTTTATTATGAGTCGGCCTTGTACGTACATTGAATTGGAGTTTAAATGCGCGAAAGTACTGAAAGAGCAACTAGAGGATTGTATAAGGAGTATTATTTGTTTTCTCCAAGGAACTGCTTGTAGAATTGCTTGTGGTCAGTCAGGGAAAAACATCGACAAATATATAGAAGGCTAAGTTTAAATAACCAAATAGAACGCTAATTGTAACTGGGTCCACGAGACAAAAGTCGCACTATCGACTTTATTGCTAGTATTTGCTATATACACATGCATATGTAGAATAAGCAACTTTTCGAACAGTTAGCCAATTTCTCTGTTCAATATACTATACCATCACTGTAGCATTTGATACGGAACTTGAAGCTTGACTCAGACAAATGTAGCAGACAATTGTCGTCATTATATATTCGTTCGCACAATATTCGTTGTTGTCAAGACCAACAACGGAACATTTAAAACCGTAAGAAAAGAAAGTGTTGATAAACTTAACCCTCAAATATTAGCAGTATAACGATATAATTCCATTGTCATTGATAGCGCTTTTGGTTTCGTTCTGGCGTGGACCATTGTCACATCTGACTTCCCATCCATTTTACAAGGCTTCGAAAGGGGTAACACTCGACCAATGAGGGCCCGTTTTTAACTTGACCACAAGCGGTACCCGCAAGGATACAGCTTGTTCCATTTTTAAACGAATCAGTTGTGATACTGCGGGCAGAATGGATTCATGAACCTGAAATGGGTACGATTGAGGATACTAGGTAAAAGCCGCATGCATATGCCAACATAGCCACCGTCCTTTAATAACATTACAAAAACATGATGCTCAAAGCCGCATTATTGAAGGAAAAACAGCCACCGTAAATCATGGGTGTGTAACACATCCACGGCAACGAGAATGAATGTGCAGATTGTTACAAATAGGCAGATGTATTTTCTCACCTCAAATATTATTTCATCATGTAACTGCATAACGATGAACGCTCCTCGGATCGGTATGCGCGTTGATGCTATAACAGAAAGAGTAAATTAACATAAATGATACAAACGTCACACATTAACGCGTCATCAAATGAGAAAAAATATAATAGCAGTTGTCAGTTTTTAACATCTTACACACATGTTCACCGTGAGTGCGGCACGACGACGCTTTTACCGAAAAGTTAACCCCAGAAGGAGTGATTCCATTACCGATTCCATTACGTCAGGCATTTCCAGAATTTCGCTTAAGGGATATCTTGTGGCTTAGAACTTTATCAGGTCATTATAAATTCATTTAGTAGAAACAGTACAGCACTGCACTCCTGACTACGCTATCAGCAGCCAGTAACATAGGACTCAACATTAAGAAATGAGCAAATAACTAATCATACATGTGAACATGACATAAAAGAGGTGAAGCATGCTCACCTCCGTACGATCTATGGGGCTTCGATGACTCGGGAAATCTTCTTGTAAGTTCCGTGTCAATTTCGATAAGGCAGTTTTTAAGTAGGTCAGCTGCTGAACCCTGAACTGTGGAATTAACAGCCTGTCGTTCTGCCTTTGCCCTCAAATGGGCCTTCGGAGATTTAATATGGGGCAGATAACGTCTTCGACCTAACATTGTCTCAATGTAGCCTAATTGACGGCAATTTGATATCACTTCTGATGTAAATTTTTGAATGCCTGTAAAGTAGTTTGTTTTGCTTACAAGATTCCATATAAAGAACTAACGAAAATGCATAATATCTAAGTTTGATAAACAGGTATATATAGTTCTTTCGATTAAGGAACAGTGCTATATTTTTATTTGAATAGACATTTAGAGCGAGTGTTGACATTTTTCATATTCGCATTTGTTTAGAGCCAAGCAATGATTTATTTCTATATCAATAGGAAGTTTAGGTTTAGAAATGGACGAAACCCTCTGATTAACTCAGCCACTGTAGTAAAAGTAATTTAAAAAATCAAATACACAAATATAATGAAATACATCCTTACCTGGAAAGGTGCCATGAAAATTTTTTAGGAAGATCTCGCCTTCCTCCTCCGTAACCCCTAAATCCTCCGATAGGCTCTTAACGCCCTTCCCGTATATGATTCCATAACAGAGTTCTTTAGCTTGTTGTCGCTGTCTACTGGACACCTGATCTGGTTGCAAGCGTTTCCACCGGGCAGCCACATGCACAAATACGTCATTTTCCGGGTCACTGAACATTTGACACAAAACGGTATCACCGGAGAGATGCGCCAAAAGACGCAACTCAAGTTGCGAAAAATCCGCGCTTAAGATAATGCCTTCGGGCATAGGAATAAAGCCCCTCCGAATCAGAATTTCTTCACCGGCCGAATTAAAATTTCTAGCCATTGACTGTAAATTTGGCTCATTCAAGGCCATTCGACCTGTTGCGGTGTATGGGGATGAACTTGTATATATGCGGTGCTGACCAAGGCCGCTGTGATACACCTTGGCACGTAAAACCGGAAACATGTCCTTCGTAAGAATCGAAGCAATCTTTCGTGCGTCGACAATCCACTGTGGGAGCGGGTCCTCTTCAGCAAGTTTAAGGAGAATTGTTTTAGAAGACAGCTTTAGTTTGTTGGGAGGTTCACGACCAGTAATGATTTTATGCTTGACCAGCTTATCTTTAAAGAGAGAATAAATGACCCGGCTTACTTCAACGGATGAGGTCGTTTTAAATATTCGCTGCGCTTTCGAGATCATTTTGGTCTCTAGTTGAAACTGTAACTGGCGCATTGCATTAATTTGGGCTTCGCACGTTTTGTCATCATAGCCAAAACCATTCAAGTCTATTTTCGCTAGCACAACACAGACACGCATCTCCTTTCTAAATATTGTTGGCATTATGTGTAGGACATTGAAACGATCAATAACCCCACGCAATATACCTAAATGTGCACAACTTTCGATGCATGACCGGGGCACATCGGGGTGTTTGTTTTTAATTTTGTCTAATAACAATGGACAGTACTGACAGATGAGCGTTTCCAACGACGGACATGAGCACGTTGATGAATCTAAGAGCCAATGCGCGATTCCAGCATCCTGAAATAGTTAATAGCGGAACAAAAAAAAATGATATAAATGTGAACTCTTTGATAGTGCAAACATAGCGGGTGCATTTTCACAAGAGCTGACTAATGCTGTAGCAATAGAAACTATGGTAATTATTGATTTATATACGAAATCAAACGCGATCTATCAGCATACCTCAAATTGAACTGCATCGTTGTCAGGTATAACACCTAAAGTAGCGATGATAACTTTCAGTTGGTCCAGGCAGTCAAGCAATCCTACTGTATAGACGGAAGGAGGTTGGAATAGTTTCTTTAACAGTGTTGCATGTTCATCATATCTATTCTTCAACGTGTAGAAGATACCTTCTGATGAATTCACAGCTACACAAAATCCTATAATTCGCTTATTGCCAAAAACAAGACTTTCATTCTCTATATCCAAAGGTCTATTGTCAAGCATCGCCGGTCCGATCCGAGCGGATGAGGGTGCGGCTTCAGTTTCGAGGGACAGTGCGCATCTGCCGAGATGAACAAAGAATATTTTTAGTTTTTCTTTTGTTTCTTACAGGCACGAAAGCTTTCTAGTCCCAGCACTAGACAATACGAGAATTGATTCAAATAATGTGCATACAGATATTACGTGCAATCGTGTCCGTATAAGGTGTTTTGGTTACCTGGGCTGACCTGACTTAATCGAAATTGTTAATAAATTAGTACCAGTAATGAATATGCATGCACAAGGGTAAATAAATAAAGAAAAAGATCACATGCGGAAGTTACAAGATTGGCAGGTACTTTATAAGTAGCCATAAATATTCAATGACCGAACAGGTTTCCATACCTATTTGGGTCATTCTTAAATGTCATCGTATGGTTAGCGTATTCAACCAACAACAAAACTGCACTACTAACCGTCTCCCCGCCGCTTCGATGCGCTGAAAGAGGTCTTTTTCCGGAAGATCTCGTAAGCAGTGGATTCCCGCCCTGGTCAGTGTAGGACTGGAAATGTCTGGCAAGGAATTCAGTGTCAACGAAGATGATGAGGATGAGGGTAGATAAAGACTGAAAAATTACCGAAAATTCATTAATGTAATCACTTAACATGAACAGTACCACAAAGTCGAAAATGTTAAAAATATTGTTAAATAAAGGAAATGTCTATTAACATATTACCCTTTGGAAAACAAGCTGTCGAAACACATTACTGTTTAAGATTCTCCTAAAGGCCATAGTACCCTCTTAACATAGATTCTCTTAAAGAGCATAGTACCCTCCTAACAGTGACCCCTCTCTGTCACTGTTAAGTCTAAAGACTAATCAACGACAGACTGCTTTTAAGATCTGTGTTACCATTGTATCAGAGAATTCGCTCGAACTTGATTAGTTCGTACTCACTCAAGTGACGGCTGGTCGTCGTCGGAAATCTCATGACGTATTTGCGGTTTCGTCGGTTGGTCGTCGTCAAAGATCTTATGGTTTATTTGCGATTCCGCCGGTTGTTCAACCGGCGCATTTTCACCATCCGAAAACAAATCGCTGTCCGTGTCCTCAATACAAGCTGAGTTTGTTTTCGAACAGGCTGGAAATGTCGAAACTATGGCCAACGTATCAATGGGGTCAACCTTAGGTGGGAGTGGCGCCGAAGCAGTTGTGACCGAAACAGCGTCTTTGTTCGAAACCACGGCGCCCTGACATGTGAGCACACAATCAAAGATCAGATCACTGTCGTTCTCGTATGGGCTAGTTCGAGATTGGTGACCGTGTTTCAGCGCCGTCTTTGCATTTTGCGTGATGTTTTTCATTTGACTACTATTGAAGAACGCCATCGAATCGTCAGAGGTGGAACGACGTTCCTGGTTGAAGGCTTCTTCCAGGCTGCGGCTTGAATTGGGCCTTGCCTTCTTCCCGTTGGGGGAAACATCTTCATCTGGCCTACGTTTTACCGATGCTCGCAAGCCCATTCGGAATTGTTCATTTTCCGCTTCTAACATTTTAAGTTTGGTTGGTGTCACCCGCACATCTGCAGACAAAATTTTGGTAAGTTTCACTAAAATAATAATACACAACAAAACGTCGGTACCTAAATCCTTTTGAAATAAATTATATTGTGGTATAAACCACTTTTTGACACTTACTTGCCCCCGAGTTCACTAGAGGTTCTATCCGAGAATCCGTTCTAGGGCTGATAGGGCTAGTGATGGTGTGATCTGCCGCAATCGACATACTAGCGGGCTGTGTATTAATATCGTCGAAAAGCGAGCTATCACCAGTATCAGCTGATGTGCGCTTTTCAGCGGTTTTTGAATTTTCATCGTGCTTCTTTTCTTGGGTCTTCACTCCGTCGAAGATTGAGTCTCCCTCGATATCTTGACGTTCACTGTCACCAGCATCTAGTTGCGGTGTTACGCTTCGGTTGAAAATGCATTGGTCCGATTCCGGTCTAGCCGGCGATTCGAATTCGTTGGTACAATTAGGGCGTTTCGTTCTTGATGTAGTTGCCAAGGCAGTAAATGACTTTTGCTTGAAATAATAATACTGTTTTTAAGCTATGACTGCTATATTAGGTAAGTTATTCGATATTATTGTCATTTATGAACCAATAAGTTGATGCTATGTAACATAATTTTTACACGCGTGAACACACGAGTTTTTATTCTCACGTACATTTTTCAAAATACATTAGAAATTAAGAAAAGACTTTTCATAAAAATACGGTAAAAGAGAGTTTCGGGTTAAAGGATAGGCTAAGATACTAACCAAATGTTCTTTGTCTTTTGAGGGACATTTATTTGGAGTGGAATAGTGTTGCACTCCCTTGTGAAAGGAGTTCTCTTCCGTAATTCTTGACGAATTCAAGGACATCGGGTTCACAGAACTTCTATCCGATATGTGATCGCCGTCTGAAGGAGTTATCTTTGCAAGAGCATTGCGTTTATCTCGGTGAGGTTTATTTTTTGAATTCTCTATCAAAGTTTTGCTTTCGTTTTTAGTGATAGCAAGATCATGATCAGTGCTAGTAGCATTTGACTGAATACGCACTGCTTTCGAAATAGGCACAGGGTCAGACACCGTTTGAACCTCTGCCAATGTATCTTCGCACCCTACACAGCTCGCATGTTGATACGTCACAACGGCATTCTTTTGACCTTGCATGAGCGACAGTTCGTATTCTTGATTCTCTACAGCATTACTCTCAACTGGATCGACTTCATCCCTAATTGGATTTTGTTCGACCGACATGTTCCTAGATGTATCTTTTTCAATTTCGACATGCTGCTCACTCGTATTCTCACGTCGGTTTCCTTTTGTTTCTTTTTGCTGACTAAATGCCTGTTCCTTTTTATCGAAGTCTACTTTGATTCCAAGCCAATCATGCAAAGTTTTTCTAGCTTCATCAATTAACAATTTGGCTGCCTCGCGTTCTGTGACGCCGTCAAAACCGTTGAGATAGATCCAACGAACATCTGCTGAAGATTCCCCTTCTCTAATAATATTAACAGAAAAAAAAACATTTCGTACGGAGCTTAGGCAGTGTAGTTATTTGAAACTAAATAGAAATATTTTCAGTTATAAAGAAACACTTACTTGACTTCGTAAGCACGAGCGGCTCGAAAAGCAGCCTCTACCTCATATAGTTGTGCTTTAGCTAACTCAGGAAGCGCAATGAAGCCTGCATTAAAAAGGATTCTGGCAGCCTGCAATTAAAGAACATTTCGAAGGTTTTTTTGTGATTATTCCGAATTCTAATTCACTTATCATACCCAGAAGCCTTTATCTAATATCATGGTATGAAACACATTCAGGCTAAACAGAATAACACACATGATTAAACGAATAGGCTGGACAATTACCATGACCTCATGACAACAACAATCAGTATAAACAATAATCTCATCCTATATTTGTACATAGAAAGGTTCTAAGAGGCACTCACTTGTGCGGTCATAGGAACAAGCTGCAGAAGCTCACATAGCTCTTGCCGAACTCCGAAGTGGAGTCTTTTCTGAAACTGACCAATGAGTAGCTCAAGGTTGTGCCATCCTAGTCGTTTGCAGAAAATCGCCATCATACCTACAGTACCCGCACGGAACTAAATTAGCATTGTCCTACAAAGTGTAGTAAGTTTAAGTAAGAAGATCAACGTATTGAAAATTTCTCTAATTCACTGTAGCTTTTCTGTAATATAAACAGAATTTTGCTATCAGGAACCTACGTTTATTCTTATATGGATTGCATTATTCTTAGAAACAGCCAATTGAGGAACTGATTATGCCCTACCATATCCCTTCCACAAACCTGCAAAAGTGGCCGAACTCTGCTGAAGATTTTGCAGCATTCCTTTTTGTAGTCCAAATTTTGTTGACACCTCAGAAAGGGGAACTTCCTGAACCAGTTCATTAAGGGCTAAAGCCACGTAAAAACGCCGATGCAGAGAGTCTTTCATCTCCTTATCGCTCTTCGTAGCCGCTCCCTGAATCGGAATTAATGATCAAAGTTTTTAATAGCATATAAAACCTTCATAATGCACTCTTTTTTTCTGTCCAGGTTTCGAGTCCAGTATTGCATTTGCATGAAAGATCATCTTAGGCGGATAATTACTGCGACTGAAGCGGTAACAAACACTGATAGGTTCAATGGCAAAACAGGAAAAAGTGAACGAATTTTAGCATTAACATAATACTCATGACGGACACCACCTAGTGAGGCCGAAAAGCACATTCAGTTGACAGTCATTCTATCGTTCGTAAATTCTACGTACCCTTATGCATTTGTAGACAAATCCGAGATCGAAACCTATCAATTCAGCTACTCGACGCCGATCTTCAGTTAGTGCGTCATAGAATTCACTTAGAGTACTGTAGTCAATCGTCGCTTGCTCACTAATAAAGTAAGGTGTTACCTAAAAGAGACAAGATATAGAAAGAAACTGTATGAAATGTTTGCGGAGAAACAAGCGCATAGGGAGGCGTGATGTGATACCTTTATATTTGTCTAAATGGTTGACTTACTTAGTTAAATAACAAAATATTGCTTAATATGTAGTAACAATAATAGTAATAACGATAAGCTATATAAAACGCCATGGTCACTGAATACTACAGATTAAGAAATACTTATATCACATTATAAACCTCCAACTTACTTCGTATATTATGTGTAGATCATTTTCAAGAACAAAGCTTTGCCGTGATTTTCCAAGCTCCCTAAGAATGAGTAAAGCTTGATCAGGCGAGAGACTGCTCGCCAAAACGGCTGCCGCCAATTTAGTCGGTGTTACTGCCTGGACACCATTTTCTTCAGGTGAAACCTATGGACATAAATCGCAAGTGATCTCTAATATTTTAAACAACATGACAAATTATCTATGTAGCATACATTGTCATTGTATACGAGTGGAACAACGTCGTTTACAACTTTACCCAAAGTTCGATGAATTCATGAACAGGAAATTACTTTCCCAAATGCTTGACCGGCACAACACAGAGATTATATGTGATGCAAGACGATTGGCAGCATCGGTAAATAGCTCGTTTTATTACTCGCTGTGGACGCAAAGTTTATTACAGAAAAACCATGTTTCTCTTGCTACCAACCTTAATGAAGTCGTTCTTAACGAGATAGTCGATGCAAGCATTTGTAGTTGAATGAGCCGCACTTTCGCCTTTGATTATCGCTAAGTCGTCACTAGTTAAAACCTTAGCCTGTGCGCACTCATTGAGGAACGTGCATTTAATATACTTCTCTATGTCCCGTAGCGTCTTCGCCACGCCTGAAGCGACAATCTGCAGAAAAAAAAAGCATTTCAATTGTTGGAGAGAGGCTGTCTATAATACGTGCATTTGACACAATAAATTATCATAGAGTTTAGGTAAATTCATTGATATTTGCTGTGAACTTTCAAAGCGATTTCGACTAATATAGAAAAGTTTTTTTTAACCAACTCGTTTTTATGCGTATACAAACGATTCAATGGTAGTTGCATAATACCTCAAGGATGGCCCGTTTGAGAGCACCTGACACTGACCCATGCGCTGCCAAACAACTTCGAACGGGCGCTAAGTTCATAGTGGCTAATTTCATTGCCTGAACGCGCTCTTGATCCTTACAAACTAAAATCGACTCTCCACGATCATCAATACCTGTCGACCAATCAGCAAAATTATTGAGCCGCCCATAAAATGCGTGAACTGTCTTCCAAAATTAAATTATACTAGCTAACTATACGATACGCTTTTTTAAGCATTCATTACAGGTGTACGCCGCTAAAGTTTGTCAATCGTCTAAATATATGCATAAACAAACATATAATAGAATATAACAAATACCGCATCCATATTATCCAACCTGCATTGGAGTTTTCGTAGTACTACGACAAAGAAGCTCAGTGGATGTCTTCACAAATTTTAGCCACAGGCGATCAATCGGACTGACTAGGGCCTATGAGTATACCTTTCCGACCTGCGCGGCCGATCATCTGCTTATATGTGAGGACATCGAGCAGTTGACGGCCGAACATCGGCGTCCTGATAACAACACGCCGCGCAGGCAAATTCACTCCAGAGGAAAGCGTTGATGTTGCTGTCAACACGTTGAGAATACCTGTGTACAGTGAATGTACTAGGTTATATAAACTGGTAACTTGTCAGATGGACTTTATCATACTTTAGCCATTTCATCAATATATTTATACCAATAAATTATAAACAAAAGAAAGCAAGATAGGCTTCGTATAGATTGACGTTGACGAGGCGACCACTGTAAGCATTCGACACAGCTAGAAATCTGCCGTTCGTCAAGAGGGTAAGTTAGCTGAACGCTTGAATTGATCCATACCAGCCTTAAATGCGTTTTCGATGATGTCCCGCTCATCGTACGTGAGGCCTGCGTGGTGGAACGCCACTCCATAAGGAATCGTTTTCTTTAAAACTTGGTCGAGTCCTGCTGGTGTTTGTTGCAACTTTTCAAGAACTTCCTAACAAGCAGAAAAAAAAAGTGAATTTCAATCATATGAGTGTAGCACACTCTCTATGTTTCCGACTTTACATCCGTTAGGCGTTTCGCCAGACGGCTGGCTCTTGCCAGCACGAAACGGACCATACGTTTATGCTCGGGTTCGAACCTAGACGGCAACGTGTCCCACGCGTAGCATACTAAAGGATTTGTTCTATAGTAGAGACAATAAAACTTGTCGACATTATCAACTAAGAGACACGCGTTAAAAACAAAACGTACCTGTATCTCATTGCGCTTATTAACTGCTCGTAAATCAGCGCCCAGTTGAAGCAATTCGGGATCAACCTTATTTGGCTCTGACGGGGGCTTTCCGACTGCTAGGAAGGCCCGGGCAATCTGTTGGCTCATTGTCTCGCACCATACTTTTGTCGGCAGAAATACGATAACACCAAAGCCTTGAGACACCGTGTGAATCACCAGACTGAGACAACCATCGAAATCATCGACCGACGATGGTAGGGCGCATCGGAGAATCGGAATCTCAGCCGTCTGTATTTAAATGAGACCCAAAAAGGAATCGTAATAGAAAGCAAGTGCTGGGCAGCCCTGTCAACAATAATCACAGCAACAACAACGGGATTTCTTTATCCAAGCAAAAGGCCTTAGGGAAACTGATTGCATGTGTGAGTCAAAAATACAATGTCGAAAAGCCTTTGCTCAGTGATATACGCCAATTTACAATTGTAACGATGTGAGTCCTCACTAGATGTGTATGAGCTATAAAGATAAATTGTCTTTTTCTAGTAGCTATAATAACATTTTATATTGGGTTGCCGTTTCCTTAGCTAGATGGCATTAAAGTCACATATCTCGGGTAATATGACATCACCTCAAGCGGCGTTAATGTCACTGGTAAGTTAGAATTTAAAATTGGTAGATATACTGACACCATTGGAATGGTTCTGTTCGGACCTAAAATGAAGCGTCTTGAATATGAGCGACATTTACGCAAAGATAAACTATATTTTACCGCTCTATCGTAATGGAGGCAAAAACTCTGCCCAGAACTATAAAAATGTGTCTTCTTTATGGTCAAGATAGACAGATCTGAAGAAACGGCCTAAAAAGAGGTTGCGTTCGTTCTGAAAATTGCGATGTGCTTTTTGTAGGAGCGATCGATAAGTGGATCAACTCATCGCGAACGTTAAGCAAGACCATGCCTAAGTTGCAACATCGCTAATCAACTAAATATCTACGACTAAACAGTTATAAATCATTTATGGAAAGCTAAATACAAAACAAGTTCAACGTTTGGGTGCTACACGGGTGACGCAAAATAATTTACTCCACCGTAATTTTATATGTGAAACTCTACAAATCGAACCAGGCGGCGACATCGAGCTATTTCTAAAACAGTTGATCACGAGTGATGAAGAATAGATTACATAGAACAACGATCTGCAAATAGAGAAGAGATAAAGTAAATGTACCCTATAATCTATGGCAAAGCCGGCACTGACACTAAAGAAAATGATGCTGTATGGGGCTAAAAAGACGTCACGCATTACTAGTTACTGCTGCCTAACAAAACAACAAATCTGGACTTTTACTATCAACAACTAATAATATTAGCTATTGAAAAAAAAAAACTAGATCGGAACTAAAGAACAGAAAAGGCGTCATCTACTGTCATCATGGTGCCAAACCGCATACATCTTTAGCTACCCAGCAAAAATGAAGACAACTTGGGTCTTGCACCATTAAACTATCACCTGTCTCGGTCTCTGTAGAACTTCTTCAATAGTCTTTAATGAAAGGATGTAAAAATAACTTGTCACAATTTTTCGCACAGAGGTCAAGCTCTGCAGTGATAGGAAAATTACAGAAGATCATCGATAAAAATAGCACATGTTTAATTTATAAAATATTTGCTTAAATTCTTCGTCTAGCTGCTACCTTTCCAGTGCCGATATCCACCGGGAGTTCGTTGCCTATTTTAACGCATTCAGTTAGTGGCACAGGCCGATAGTCTGTTCGATAAAGCGACGCGTCCAGCCAGTTAGCAACAAGGTCCAAATTAGGCAGTGTCGCACTCATTCCAATTAGCTGTATACTACTGGACGAACTATGCCTAAAAGTATATAATTAAATAAAAGAATCAATAATTGTTATTTACTACACATAGGCCAGATAATAATAAGTATAATATCGGTCACCGAACAGCCCAATTAAGACAAAAAATAATGATTTTTTACGGTCAACGCTGGCCCGATGACATTATTGACTGACCTGAACGGCACAACTTTAAGCTATCAGAATGGAAGACGGTGTGAAATTATTAGCTTGATTAACCGACCAAAGCATGGCCAATACATACCATATTAACTTGAAGAATACCCCCAACATATTTAAAAAAACAGCAAAGATATATGTCTATAGCTATATTCAACAGTGGTTTATTAGATTAGCGAGCAACAAGATGGCTTCATTATGACATGAACATGCATCGATACCTTTGAAAGTACAACAACTTGGTGAAAAGCAGTTCGAGGAGATAGCCCCTTTGCGGTTCGCCCAACATGTGCAATTCATCAACGACGACACAACATAGTAAATCAAGCGAATCTTCCTCCAGCAGTTTGTTCACAAGAGCATTCGATTTTTCGATCGTACAAACCGCGATATCGATGGATTGGAATCCCCCCATGGGAAAATAACTTCCCATGTACCCGCCGACCCGTAAACCGCCCGTAGAGAACAGGTTCTGTAATTATGATTTACATATTTCACGTGAAGTGAGACATTAAGGTTGAAGAGTTTCTTTTGTCGGATTGCAAGAATGCTTCCACGAGGTTAAGTCATGACGAAAAATCTCGTGAGAAGACCTTGCCAGACAAACGGACTCAAATTGCGAAGTGAACGAACCTCATTGAAAAGTTCAAACGACACACAGGCTACATTCGGACGACTTTATTTTAAAATATAAAGTTAAGTTATCCAGGTTAGCGATCAGATTTTAGCCTTCGTGGACTCACCTGAAAGTGAAGCATTTTCTCTCTCGTAACAGACACGAACGGCAGGATCATAATGGCTTTCTTGCGAGTTTCAAGGACCCGCTTCAACATCAAGAGCTCCGCTACCAGCGTTTTACCTGCACTAGTGGGTGCTGAATAGACTAGATTTTTCCCTAATAATGTGGCGTCGAACGCAAGGGAAACCGGTGTTAGTTCGAACGCATCTCTAGAAATATCTTACGATCATTCTCCTATTTTGTTTTTTCAATAGACACTTTACTAACAACAACATGAAAATTTCGGTGCGAGTCAGCGTTACATTCATTTCATTTTTTATTATGTACTTATCACGACACCAAGTTTGATCCACATACAAGACAGTATGAAATTGATATCTGTTTATAAACCGTTATCTCGCCGGTTAGTTGTTAAACGGTAGTTTTGTGCTAATTTTGACAAGCTTAACCTATTCTGGTCAATATTGTCATCAGCTGTTCCCGCCCATTTCGGAAAAGTTTATATTTGAGAATTATTTGGTTTTCAAACTCTACAGCATAGACATACAGTCGTCTTCTAAAAAAACAAATACTTTTCCCATAGTAAAAGCAAAAAGGCCGCGGACCAAGTCTACGAGTTCAACTAGTGGATACTAATTATACCCTGAAGAACTCCTTTTGCAAGCAGACATTGAACCTGCCACGGAAACATGCGTTCCACTCCCTTCTCGCGATAATTGTCCACGATTGCTGACGGAAGGCCCCATTGCGAGATGTCTTCCAACTGTAGAAATTCCTGCGATCCTGTAATACAATATTATACTACATTAACTAAAACCAACATTCAGCAAGATGCAGGTAGTGCTAAGTAAATTCCCGTTGATCAGTTGTGTGAAGTTCTTTAAGTTGTCTGAGAGAATCTAAATACAGTACTCTAGTATGAGAGTATTGTTAGTAAGTAGTAAGTATTTGAGACCAAGGTTAGAAATAAAAGATCAAAGGCGAATCGGTTACTTTCTATCATCTCTAACAACGGAATAGCAGAGCTCGTCCATTGAAAATCGTGATTGCTGTTTTAACTATTTACAAGTTAATTGTTATCCTAAACTGCAGAGACAATCGTAAATTCTATAAAAAGTACGTTGAGAGTTTAAATAAAAGAGTCGCGAAACATATCATAGAGGCAATAAATGCTCAGGAATCTGTTTGGCTTGCTTCATAAGTAACTCCAATTTAAAATTTAAATGGCGGCATATTGCAACCGCAATGAATAGCGGTATATTTAAAACGTCAGATTACGAACCAGGTTGATAGAAATTATAAAAAATATTATGGAAACTCGAAAAGGGTAAACTAATTAAGACATAATGATAATCGGCTCTGTATTGATATGTATCCGATTGAAAATTGTACAACCTGCAGCAAAATTCTTCTTGTCATTTTCGATGTATTCAATAGAGGATCGGACCAGGTTCGTTTTCAAATAATGTTATTTCAAAGTAAAAAGCTATTATAGCATGGATCGGACCAACTTACCCAGCTGAGAAAGCGTCTTCAGGCTAGCCATAGTACATTGGAGGTAGTGCTAACGTTTACGTTGTAGCTATGAATTGGTCATCTTGTGTTGCACAAAAGTGATAATTCGAGACGGTACGCCATATCGTCAAATACACAAAGTGGCCGTTTTCGGAGTGAACCAAAATGAGGATTCTACTTATTTTACGTATACATTTAACTAAATAACGATATTGTATTTCCTACAGCTTGATTGCCATAGAACTCTGAGCTGCAGGTAGGCACACCTTCAGCTGATCAGTGCATGCCCGCCACTAAGTGATCATCGGTCTAAAACAACACATCCAGCCACAGGGAGGTCATTAAACTGCTCCGTCCGGGCGACCTACCACTGATTTACAGAACTAACATTGAGGCTCATTTGAGGCAAGGTTAAAAGAAAAACGTTACATGAACCAAGACACCACATAAGTGGTTAGGATCTAATGTTTCGCTACTTGCAAGCTGAATCACAGTGTACTTGAACTAGAAAAGGAGTTTTCGAACACTAGAACATACTTAAACATAAACATTAGGACTATAGTCAGCCATGTTTATCATTATGGAAGGAAATTGTCCGGAACAATAAGCCTGTGACTCGATTTTATCTCTAAAGATTACTAGCTGCTAAATTATATATAATCAGTTTTTATCCGATCTTTATTTAATTTTTATAGTAAAATAATTGTTACATTTGCATTACTACGTTGTTCTTATAACTATAAATTATTTCTAAAATCAATTTTCAGCGAAGTCCACGAAGTCGCTAGTTTGAGTCATCCAAGCGGAACAAGTTATTAACTAGATTATTTCTATTATATGTGGCCATTGTTATCGTTATAGAATTTAATGAGTATTTGAGCTTTAGGAACAAACAGTCTTTGAAGCTTTTAGCAAAAATTGTGGGCTTATCTGTTATATTAGCTAATAAAACAGCTGACCGAAACAATTCCTATTTATACAGCGGGACGTGAAGTACCACCCGGTTGCTTGGAACATAAATCATCGAAAACATTATGTATGTGATATAATATATAGATAATTGATATTATTATATATATATATGATATATATATATATAAATGATCACATCGAATTTCACTTAAGCTAATCTTCTACGACCCCATCATTAAGCTGAAAAAGTGCTAACTGTGTGCTGCTAAATTCATATAATTCAAAAAGTAAGCTTATCCTATGTGTAATTGGCAGGTATTTTCTGCGCTATGCCTGCAAAAAATCGATCGTCCGCGGATGCTAGCAGTACTTTCAGACATTTCATTTCCCCTAGATTCCTAGAAAGCAGTCTTGGCCTAAAAAATCGACTAGTATTCAATAGGCTCCGGGTTGAAGAGCATTCGTTCATCGTCCATCTTGAGTACGCGTGGTAATGGGATGAAACGGTAACGTTTTGCTCGTGTCACTGTTCCGCTTAAACCTGTACGATAGCATCTATTAGTGCGACTAATTAGCTGGCAGCAGCCACAGAAATAACGACAATACTATTTGTACAGAAAGGAAGCCTTTACTCTTTGAGGCTTTCTGTGCTTATGTATGAATAGGAATTGCATATACAATGGTACTTCGAGGTGTTCCTCGTGAGTGAAAGATAAATGGCCTCATGCAAAATATATCTAGCCGTATGTGTGGCGCGTCTCAACACACAAAAAGGCGGGGCTTATGCATGTCCTGGCTAAGAAAGTGAGATGCTTCTCATGTCGCCCCTAACTCAATGACAGCTCGTGAAAGATAAACTCGTGAAATAACCTATGGCTGTTCCGTGGAAGTTCAATTGTTAGTAAACAAAGTGGCAAGATTAAATTTTGCTTACTATAGTTATTATTTTTATAGTTAGGTGTGCAATGTACTAAAAGAAAAGGCAGCAGCATGTGCCTAGTGACTTTTTAAAATCGGTATGCAGAAGGGAATGGGCAGTCGGCACAAGTGTAGGCTGACTCCTTTGGCAGTTCTTGACCCAGTTGGTCGGAAAAATGGTTCATAGTAGAATTGGATGTATAATAAATAGGTCGTGTGGAACTACGCGAATAATAATTATTTCACGTTCATGTTGACAACGATGGCATGTCAATGCTCGAACGGGTTACCCTAGTTACTTACCAATCCTTAGCCTCGGTCCGCATCATTTAGGCACACATATTGCTATTCAGAGGAATTCAGATTGTTGGCTTACTTTCAACATCCACTTCAACTGCTAGGTAGACAAAAAAAAAAAACACATTTAAATAAATGTTTGATGAAATGGAAATATGTGTGCAGACACACATGAAGCATGTCGGAAAATTCTCTGGTAGCAAACAGTCGTTCCTGTAAATATGTACATCTATTATTCATTATTTGCATATAAATATTACCTTGAATATTTCTACCTTTGCTTCAACTCTAAACAGATTTTTTTCTAGCATATAGGCTTCAGCTGAAAAATAATACATTTTTTTAAAAGCGCAAGTCCACACTTCCCCGTTCTTTTCCGATCTCTTTTTCAGACATAGCAGAAACCATTCTTCAAAAATACAGAGCACAGCGCTCACAGCCTTTGCTTTCTTGGGCATATTTCCAGGACTCTAGGTCGTTTCCTCTGAGTTTATCCTTCTTTGTATGCTTCAGCCAATACAGGAAGCGTAGAAGAAGTCCGATGTTTTGCACTAGTTTAAACCACAGTGTTCAGTGTGATAACTGTTTAGTAAATATCGTATGATCGGTTAACAAAGCTAAAGGTCTTCACAGCTGCTCTGTGTGATGTGTAACTTTACCCACTGAGTTAACTTTGCCAATATAAACAGCGGTTGCTTAATAACCTCTTGTTCGTAACAGCTCATTAACAAACTCCTTTTTGAGGAGGAGGTGCTTTTAGTTGGATCTGTTCAATCCTTAATGCTCTTCAGGCGTATGACCTACCTGTTACTAAACAAGCATATATAATTTCCGGTTATATACAAACAACAAGGTTTCGACGTTTAAATGAATTTGCGAACTCACTTCGTATCGATATATATATATATATATATATATATATATATATATACAACACGGATAATTTCAGCCGAGTCGATGATTAGTTCTAAGGTGTACCAAGAAAACAGAGATAAGCTATTATGTAAGGCTTGTGATTACGCTTTGCGGAACTGAATGTGACAGCAGGACTAGCTGTCCTTAAGGTACCAGTAATTTTCAAGTGGGTTTATCTGAATGAACTTCGCCGAGAAATCTACAATGAACAAGTAACGCTAACGACAAAGACCTACCGATTTCTTCAGAATAGTATAATCGTTCCGTTGAAGATATGCTTTTATTGACAATGTGAGAAGTAAATCTCCTCTGAGAAATTGAGGAAGTTTTGCTTATGCCATGTGTTATAGAGGATGCAACTGCTCGTACATGGCCAATTTGTACCAACTAATTAGGTTATAAGCTGATTACTGTATACAAATCTAGCATATGTGATGGAAGCAAGAGCTATTCTCGTGTACAGCCTTGCTTCAGATGACGAATTTCTTAGATCATGTGACATGGCTTTACCTATGGCATGGTTTTGGGATAGAGATAACGTGCGGTTATCAATGGTGACGCCATTGACTCTCAGTTTGCCATTAGTACGGAGATCAAAGGCATCCCTTTCGCCTTCTGTTAGTTTAGGATTTTGAGTGACGGCGAAGTCTGTCCATCCAGTTCAACAATGAAAACATATTCATAAAAAGTGGCTGCTTCAAGTGTTTCGATAGCTCAAACTGGAAAGAATATGCGGCCAAGCATTACGGCTTTCCGTACAGAAAGGAAAAATCCTGCTGGAAGAAATATATAAACGTGATATTAACTAAAACGTAGATCGACACCACCGCTCGAAACCACTTAAGGCACTCCCGGCAACACAGCCTTTTTATCCAGGTTCTGCGGCTGGATAAAGCAGAAATGGTCGAACAGGCTGTGTTTGGCAAATGCGGGAACCATTTTCGATGACAGTACTGTGAAAATAGAGGTAGAACCTTGGGGCCGTTTTCGAATAACGACACATATGATCCTGCTGAGCTTAGGTTGACGCCAGGTGACGGCCTCAACTGTTCCTCTACTCTATTATTGCTCAGTTACAATTCCCAAGATCCGAACATACAAAGGTTGGGTTGAAGACCAAATAATCTAGCTTTACTTCGCTTTTCTTGAGGAAGCAGCACTCTATGGAATGGCGTAGGTGTCAAAACTTGTCCATGCGGTTGTTGCCGTTCCTAGAGTACAAATAT